ATAGCATCCACAACAACAACGTGCACAACTTTGATAAGACTAGGTTCTAGATAACGTACTCTATCACCGAGCCGGTCATATCACCGAACCGGTCACTTAAAATCCCACCAAAAAACACAGAAACCATACCCCTGCATCTCAATAACTACTTAATGGAATCTTCTAAAAACTTTAGAATAGAGCTGCATCTATACTAATAAGACTGTTTAAAAGTCTTAGAGTGCTTAGCCCTATATTGCAGATGTTGTTTAGAAGATACTGAAATACAGGGGTAGCTGCAGGCTATCTCAACATCTATACTAGCTATTAGTCTAAGACTTTTAAATAGTTTTATTAGTATAGATGCAGCTCTATTCTGAAGTTTTTAGAAGATTCCATTAAGTAGTTATTGAGATGCAGGGGTATGGTTTCTGTGTTTTTTGGTGGGATTTTAAGTGACCGGTTCGGTGATATGACCGGCTCGGTGATAGAGTACGTTAGGCGTGATAGGGTCAATAAAGGTCGTCACAGGCGCTGAGAGACGCGCTCGACCTAAGCTTGTTCAGCCAGGTGATCAGGAGTGGGTTACAGTTATACAGAGCATCTGCGCTGCTGAAAACGCGCTTCAAGCTGCTCGCATTACTGAGCTTGAAGAGCAATTAGCAGTTATAAGTAGGAGGAAGTCGCGCAAGCGAAAGCAGATTCAGCATGGCGGCACACTTGAGTACGGCCCAGCAACATCACGGGTAGCTGCTGAGGTGTCTGTAGCAGCTCAGCCATCAAAGAAGACTTGTGGTGCAGATACTCAAGAAAGGACCCATTTAGCCTAACAGCGCTGTAGAAACTGTGGAGGCACTGGGCACAACGCTTAAACGTGTTAGAAAGATACAGGAGAAGATTCTAAATCTAATGCGAGTACACAGTACGCTGGATTACTGTTTAATAGCAAGTAATTCAAGTTGCCGCAACATAAGTTGGGCGCGCCAAGAGTTTTTGACCGGTTTGGTGATATGACTGGCTCGGTGATAGAGTACGTTAACGCTTAGGTCTATAAGGGAAAGGATTAGAGGCTTCTAAACTAAGTAACAAAGTGTGCAACAATTAAGGCATCTTTACATAATATAAACGCTGTCTTGCAATTACTCTACTACATTGCTATCTAGAACTAGCTCCTTTAGGCAGAAAATGGCGGCTTACGCAACGCTCTGGCTCACAAGAAGCACAGACAAAGTAAGGGCAAGGCACTCGCTCTGTTGCAACACTAAGAGTACTAGGGACCTAAGATAATGTAGACTCCTTGCTTATTCTAGGAAGCCAAGGTGCGCACAAGGCAAGCGCAAGAGGAAAAGGACAAAGAAGAGTGTGAAAAGGATAAGAGAAAGGAACTACAGAGGGCTAATAAGCTCTACAATAACAAGATTGCAGAAGAAGCAAAGGTGCAGCGTGCAAGGGATGCAGAAGCGTGGAGGAAGGCAAAGGAGAAAGAGCGCGCAGCTACTGATGCGCGCAAAGAGCAAAGAGCAAAGACGCAAGGATAAAGAAGCTCGCAAGGCTTAAAAAGACTTACAACGAGCTAACAAAGGCAAGCGCGAGATTACTACAGCTCCTGTAGCAAAAAAGAAGCAGAAGCGTAGTGCTGCAGCTACGCGTAGTTGTACTGTTGCGCACGCGCGCTCCCTAACACCTACACCAAAGTACAACAGCCATGGCCGCAAAATTGCCCTACGTAAAAGACTACATATAAAGGTGTCTTTTAATAGGTTAAATAAGTAGTCCACCAGGAAATCTTGTGATAATAGCTATTGTGGGTGGCTGTAGAGTCTTACTTTTGTATAAGCGTGATGGGGGGATTCGGCGCATCTGGTGATGGCGCGCATCTGCTGACTAACTACGGTAGGTACCGTATCGTACTTGGCCCAGTCACGCTACCACGCGTTGAACGTGTTCTGCGGCAACCACTCTCCACCGCGGCGGTAGCCGGCTCATTGGCCGCACACACACCGTCCCCAGGAGTTGTGTCGCGACCTGTGCCATATCCTTGGAATTTCTCCCGGACTTCGACGCCACGCGCACTGTTCGAATCCACACACAAGTCTCGATGAGCGCATCGAGCTGTCGAAGCTCCGCCCGCTACCGTGGACGCGTCGCAGCGCCGAGTTTCGAACCGCCACCATGTCCTCTGACGACGCTGCCCAGCTCATGGCTGCCTTCCGAAAAGGCGGCGCTACACGCTCCGGCGCAAATGCCACCAAGTCAGCAAGCGGCACTCCCGCCCCGCGCCGTTCAACACCAAGACGATCGCCCGCGCGACGAGCGGCCCCAAACAAGCGTGTCTCTATCGCTGTAGAAGCCCTCTTGTCGGATTCAAGCTTGGGCGACGAAGCCGTCAACGCCGCATCTCCGCCAAAGGTCCGACGCCTCCTGCACGTTCGCCCGAAGCCAGTCGCAAACAAGGAAGAGTACACGTACCACGAGCCACAGGAGGAGGTTGAGAGGATCGTTAGAGAGTCCACCAGGCGCGGGCGCCATGTCGGCTATGTGGTCAAGCTGGTGGGAGGCCGAACTAAAGAGGTAAGCGAGATAGCTGCTGCCCAGCACTGGGGGAGTGGGTGAGTGGGTGAGTGGGCTTGTAGCGGGAGGTAAAGGAGCATCAATCTAACCGCGCTGTTACAGAGATGTGTATAAATTCGCTGCAAGCTCACTTACCCGCTCTCCACACAACAACCTAAACCGGTTGCAAGCTCACTTACCCACTCTCCACACAACAGCCCACCGCGCGCTTCTAACACCCCCAGGTTAACTTGGACGAGCTACTCGAGCTTCCAGGTGGTTCAGAAGCTCTCCACAACCACGAGCAGGACGACGCCTCCTCTCCTAGCGCAGACGACATGAGGCTCCGCGCCAGAAGCTCGAGGCCGAACCGCAACGGCTTCGTGGACATCACCACAATCGGCATCTCCTCCTCAGACGACGATGACGTGGAAGAAGACGACGACGACGACGACAACGAAAACGACAACGACGACGACGAGGAAGAGACCAGCGACTCGGACGACATCGTGCGCTCAGACGTCCTGCCCGGCCGCAAGCGCAAGCGAGGACGTCCACGTGCCTCCAAGCCTGAAAAGGTCCAGCGTGTCCCTGCTCGCCAGTCTGAGCGGTCAACACGCGCCACCGTCGACATGGGCGAGAGGGACGAGAACGACATCTACCGCTCAGATTCTGCGCCCAAGGCCTCGGCCCCGCAGGTCAAGGTAGTCCGAGAGACATTCGAAACCCTACCCCGAGGCGACCTTTTCCGCTCCCGCCACGCCGAAGGCTGCGAAGTCTGCTACGATGGCCCCAACGTCGCCCCTCTCATCTACTGCCAAGGCTGCTCCCTTGCGTACCACAAGAACTGCCTGGGCAACCGCAGCTCTCGCGAGCACCTCGTCACCAAAATCGGCGATGAGAGGTTCGTCCTGCAGTGCAAGCGCTGCGTCAACGTCTACCAGAAGAAGGACCGCTATGCGCCCAACCTGGCACGATGCCAGGATTGCAAGAAAGACGGCGACTCGTGCAGCGCCTTCAGACACCGAAAGACTACCATGCAAGAGATGAAGGAGCGCGAGGAGAATGGCGGCGAGGATCCCGTCCACGACGTCCCCTCTGAGCTCATCAACAACTCCCGCAACGTACTCTTCCGCTGCACCAAGTGCTTGCGCGCCTGGCACTATCACCACCTGCCTCCCTTGTCGCCATACGCCATGGAGATCAACTGCGACAACGAGGAGCTCGCAGACGACCGCTTCCGCGAGTACTCGAACAAGTGGAAGTGCAAGGAGTGCGACGAGACCGCCGACAGGAAGGTCGGAGCTCTTGTCGCCTGGCGCCCTTCCGATGTCGAGAGTTTCGAGCCCGGCACGCCCTGCGAGCGGGTCAACGAAGACGACAAGCAATACCTCGTCAAGTGGGAGATGCAGTCGTACTTCCGCGCACAGTGGTTTTCTGGAGCCTGGACATGGGGTGTTAGCGCGACGGCCATGCGAAGGGCTTTCTTCAGGAAAGAGGACGGACCGAAGATGCGAACCGAGGATGCTATTCCCGAGGAGTATCTGCGCATCGACATCGTCCTCGACGTCCAGTTCACGAGCATTGTCAAGGTCAGCACCGAAGACATCGACAAGGCTCGTATCAAGGAGGTCGGCAAGGCCCTCATCAAATACAAGGGCCTTGGCTACGAAGACGCCGTCTGGGAGCAGGTGCCATCGTCCGAAGACGGCGACCGGTGGCTGGACTTTGTCACCGCGTACAACGACTGGGTAGCCGGACGTTACATCAGGTGTCCTAAGCAAGGCCCCCTCAAGTCACGACTCGACAAAGTCCGCGACAAGCCCTTCAAGGATCTACTGAGGGAGAAGCAGCCGGACAACCTCACGGGTGGTGAGCTGATGAAGTACCAGATGGAAGGTCTCAACTGGCTGTACTACCAGTGGTACATGCTGAAGAACGGCATTCTCGCCGACGAAATGGGTCTCGGCAAGACCATCCAAGTCATCGGCTTCATGGCCACACTCGTGCAGGAACACAACTGCTTTCCCTTCCTCATCGTCGTGCCAAACTCGACATGTGCCAACTGGCGTCGCGAGATCAAGCAGTGGGCTCCGTCCTTGCGCGTTGTCGCCTACTTTGGGTCTTCGCTAGCTCGCGAGATGGCCTACAAGTACGAGCTGTATCCCGACGGAACCAAGGATCTCCGATGCCACATCGTCGTTACCTCTTACGAGGCCGCCGCAGACGACAGCAGCAGGAGGTTCCTTCGAGGCGTCAACTGGGCCGGCCTGATTACAGACGAAGGCCAGCGTCTCAAGAATGACAAGAGCCAGCTGTACACTGCACTGTCGGCAGTCAAGGCACCTTTTCGACTGCTCATGACAGGTACACCGCTGCAGAACAACGCCCGAGAGCTGTTCAACTTGCTGCAGTTCCTGGACGACACCATCAACGCTGCGGAGCTCGAGGAGAAGTACGCCGAGATGACTTCCGAGAACATCAAGGACCTCCACGACATGATTCGACCTTTCATCCTCCGCCGCACCAAGGCTCAAGTGCTGACCTTCCTGCCGCCTCTCGGTCAGATCATCCTGCCTATATCGATGAGTCATCTCCAAAGGACCGTGTACAAGTCGATCCTGTCCAAGAGCCCTGAGCTGCTGAAGGCGCTGTTTACGTCAGACAACGGTCTCAAGCAGCAAGAACGTGCGAATCTGAGCAACATCTTGATGCAGCTGCGCAAGTGCCTGTGCCACCCCTTTGTCTACAGCCGCGAGATCGAGGAGCGAACCGACGTTGCCGCCGTCTCTCACCGCAACCTCGTCGAGGCCTCTGCAAAGCTGACTCTGCTGGAGACGCTGCTGCCGAAGCTGAAGGAGCGCGGGCACCGTGTGCTGATCTTCAGTCAATTCCTCGACATGCTCAACATCGTCGAGGATTTCTTGGACGGCATGCAGATGGCCTACCAGCGTCTCGACGGCACCATGGGCTCTCTTGAGAAACAGAAGCGTATCGACCAGTTCAACGCGGCGGACTCACCGCTGTTTGCCTTCCTCATCTCGACACGTGCAGGTGGTGTCGGCATCAACCTTGCCACAGCCGACACGGTCATCATCCTGGATCCCGACTTCAACCCACACCAGGACCTGCAGGCCATAGCTCGCGCCCACCGCATCGGGCAGAAAAACAAAGTGCTCTGCTTCCAGCTGCTGACCCGAGCCTCGGTCGAAGAGAAGATTGTGCAGATGGGCCGCAAGAAAATGGCGCTCGATCATGTCGTTGTGGAGTCGCTTGGCGACGAGGATGCCGAAGAGCACGACGTCGAATCGATCCTCAGGTACGGTGCTGCCGAGCTGTTCAAGGACGACGCAGCAGACCGCGACATCCATTATGACGACGCATCGATTGAGAAGCTGCTCGACCGCAGCCAGATTGAGAATACCCGCGCGGCCCCCGGCGATGACTCTGCTGAGGGCCAGTTCAGTTTCGCACGCGTGTGGGCCAACGACACTGGCTCGCTGCAAGACGACCTTGACATGGTGCAAGAGGAGACGGCTCCTGATCCGGGTGTCTGGGACAAGATCTTGAACGAGCGCCGCGCGCAGGCTGCTGCTGACGCGCTTGCACGCGCACATGCCCTGGGCAGAGGCAAGCGTGCTCGGGTTGTAAGTACTCACCGCCATACATCGACTTGTCCTAACGAGTTCCAGAACGTCGACTACATGACCGAGCAGGAGAAGGCCGACGCCGCGGCAGCGGACAGCGAGGAGGAAGCCGCACCGCCAGCGGTTAAGATCGACAAGCGCAAGAAGAAGCGCCCCGACGACGAGAGCGATACTGACTTCCATGTCGACTCCGACGAAGACACTGAGGTCGAGCCCGAGGCATCAGAAGGCGACGTGCAGCAAGAGCTCGCAGCCCCCAAGGCCAGCGACGTCAGCGGTCTGGTCAAGCAGTCACCCGCGCGACCAAAGGGCAACGAGCAGCTGCGCGTCCCTGCCCAGCCCATCGCTCTGCCTTCGCAGGCCAGCCCTGCAAAGCCTCCCAAGAAAGAGAGCAGTGGTAAGCCGCCGATTTCATCAAAACCAACGATCGCCGTCAAGAAGTACAATAAGACAAAGACGTCCTCAAAGAAAGACACCGCAGAGCCAACAATCATCTCCGTCATCTCCCCACCCTCACCCCCACTAACAACCCCAGTAAAACCCTTCGTCCGCGCCCACCTCCCCATCCGCTCGCCCTTCGAGCACACCCAATCAAACAGCATCCACATCTGCGCCGCCTGCCGCAAGAACCACCCTCCAGGCGCATGTGAGCTCAAAGCCGCGGGCGTCGAGCACTGCGGTCTTTGCGGCCTGGCCCACTTCGGCTACGGCCGCACATGCCCACACATTAGGTCGGAGACGCAGGTGCGCGAGATGCTGGCCGCGCTCAAGAGATCCCCCGAGAAAAGGGAACTCATCGACCTCGCGACCAAGTACCTCCGCGGCGTCAAGGGCGCGCTGGTCCAGCAGAAGAAGCGCGATCGCGAGCGTGCTGAGGGCAGGGGACAAGATCTCAGCGCGACTAACGCCACCCTCGCGCTGGCTACGGGCGCCAGGCCCCTGGGCACCGCTGTCGGAGCTGCTGGTGCTCACAAACCCTCGGCTCCGGGTCTGTACGCCAAGAGTAGCCAGTATAAGATGTACCCTCTCCCTCCCCCGCCACAGCAGCAACAGCAGCAACAGCAGCAACAGCAGCAGCAGCAGCAACAGCAGCAACAGCAGCAACAGCAGCAACAGCAGCAACAGCAGCAGCAACAGCAGCAACAGCAGCAGCAACAGCAGCAACAGCAGCAGCAACAGCAGCAACAGCAGCAACAGCAGCAGCAGCAGCAGCAGCAGCAGCAAGGTTCGTCGTGAACTCCGACTCCGATTTCGACGGCGACGGTGCCGAGTGCGCCGCAAAGGATGTACTCGCAACTTCCACACCCGCCTTCTGCGCGGATGCCGGGTGTTGCGGATCCGCTGTTGGACGAGAAGGATGTGGAGAGTGCGCTCAGGGGGTTTTTGCGGCAGTGAGGCTCGATGGCGCGCGAAATTGAGCAGGGGCGTGGGTAGTGACTCTCATAGCAATAGCCTCGCTCGGGTAGTATGCAAGGTTATAAATAAACCCCCCATCAGGCGCGGTGGGAATCGAGCGCAGGTGTTTCAGATTACGTCATGTGATGAATTGTTTCTAACAGGTTATGTCCATCATGGGTATATCGGTCGTTGGCTCTTGAAGATTACTTCATGTCGTAGTTCAGCAGGACAAGGCGGGTAATGAGCTCGACGAAGAAGTGTTCAGAATAGCCCACAACACCCCAGAACGGCCACTTACCGGGCATTAGCCCTGGAAATAGGCTTGCAGAACTTACAAGCTTACTCTTCTGAACAATCACCTCTTCTGAACAATCACCTCATCCGCGGCCATATCACAGCGTCTGGTGATGAACCGAGAGTCACGAGTCCTGCCGGAAATATAGTCGGGGTTCGGACCGTCCACGCGGAGCGGCCCGGTCCTTGGGGAGAACAGCGACTCATTGATCGCAACGAGCTATCATCATGTTCCTCAGAGAGATATATGATATTGCCCCGAATAGGCTGCTTCATGCCACACACTCTTAATTGTGTTGGAGCAGCGTAAGCAGCGCATGCAGTGCATGCAGCGCATGAATTGCACTTTTCGGTCTTTCGAGACAGTTACCATCCAGATCTTGTTCGAGTGGGCCGGAGCTGGGTCATCATATGATGCCTCACTCGGGTTTTGAAGAGGGAGGTCATAACATGGCGGCATCGCGTTCGATATTTTGTTGGCTAGATGAAGCTTGTAAGATTTAAAAGGCGAGATATGCAGAAGATTTGTTGTACTTCATACAACCTGGAGAATCGAGCAAGCCACACAGAGGTTTTCGCTCTACTCTTGATCGCATCTCATTTCAGCGGAGCATGGTCCTCTCACATGCCCAGCTTACTTTGAGCTCTCGGGCAACTAGTCTCGTACAATGGGCGGATGTACTTTCACATCTTAGTCTAGGCTGATATGGTACACATGAATCGATGAGAGTATTCGGATTCAACGAGAATGCCGGAGTTGAGGTTCAGATGCCTCGTACGCGGAGATATGACCTATGCGTCGTTACTTTCGAACACGATGAGAGGACATATGCAGCGCAGACTTTGCTTCTGTTCCGTGTTACAGAGACGTTGAAGGGAGGCTGATTGTCAGTAAGAAGAAAGTTTTATTTCTCCTCGGCTGAGAAGGAGGGCTTTCGCCAGCGAGTTAGCGGTACGTTCAAACGTCCACACATGCGAAGTGCACAATGAGCATTCGAGACGGTTTTTGGCTTATCAGCCATCTTGAGTTCTATGCTTCTAGTCAGATGAGAAGTGCAGTCATCCTAGAATGAGTCGAGTTTTCGATAGGTGAGATTCACAATGCGCACGAAACATCCTTAGACTCGCTGCTATATCGCATTTCATACTGTACCCAGCTTGCACTTTTTGCCACTTCAAAACCTCCTCGTTGGGCATGCCTAGGCGCTGGAGCGCGAGTTTCTCACCAATATCCATTGTCCGCATTTTGTGGCCAACAGTTCTTGTTGCTGAAGTCGCAGCACAGATTCTCTGCGTGAACGACAGGCTCGTGAGATGGGTCTTGTTTGACTCTGGCGGGCGCAGCCATATCGCCAGAGACGACGCCACGATGAGGAGGATGCAGGCGGCTGGCCCCACTTGTCCACGATGACTGAAGTAGTGATTTGGGCGAATCAAGAACTCCTAACCTCACAGAGAGATTCTACAAATTAGGATGAATACTCCCTCAATTTCTATCTTTGCTTCTCACTGTCCCTCCCTGGGACAAGCCTCCAGTGATTGCCTCAAAAAGCGACGATGCTGGTCCAAATGTGAGCGAAACAGCAAAAGCCAACAACACATGTTCTGAGTTTTCTCGCCCTTCTCGACTTCTTATACAGTTCCAAAGAAGTTGTCAATATACCAAATGCTTGTTTCTGCTGAGAGGAGAGCCGCCTCAGTCATATCCCTTAAAAGTTCCGGTGAAAGTCCATTGGAACCCTATACAAATACATTTCATGGTCGTTATCGACAGCGGCAACTACCCTCTTATCGACACTCAAAAGATGCGCTTTTCCGCTGTCATGCCTCTCTGTGAAAAGGATCGGGTAATCAATCTATTAAAAGCCAGAGCATACTGTGCAACCCCATCTCCGCACGAACCCTGGTTCGCAAGAACAATTTCCGGTGCAAAAGCTGTGTACGCAAAAGTCTTTGTGGATGCCTCTGATATCTGCGTTTCCTCTCTTCCTCCGACAGTATCTAGTACGCAGAAAAAGGTCTCGGTTCTTGTGCTGCTGCATCATCGAAGAGCCGTCTGCCGTGCTATATTCTCACCTGAAGATTCAACGCAAAAATTCGAAAGAAGCGGTGTGCTTCTTGTGGCCGCTGTCGCCTACAAATCTATATCTTCAGACTCCATCATTTGCAACATGCGTCCCTGGCATGACCTGGGCAATAAGCACAGCGTCGGCTAGTCGAAACACTTCTCCCAAAATGCTACACCCTCCACCCTATGTCTGAGGCACTGTATATACCCACTGCACTCTTGACTTACCTTCCTAAAATCTTCTCTGCAAAGTCTCGAGGGTTGATGCATAAAAAGATGCACAGCAAGACTAATGTGAACAAAAGGCAACACACAGTTTTAGCGTGTCTGCGCTCTTTTGTTCTCCGAAAATTCAACACCTACAATACAATGATCCTGCGCGGCACCGCTTCTTCTGTTATTCAAAAGTTTGACAACTTCAACCCATTATTCAGCCTCGCTGTGTGCTTCGGGCGATGCGCAGGCAGAGCATTTCGAGCGATACTTCCGGCTTCTGACTGGAGCGACGATGTACCAAGAAAATCAGAATCTAAGATGATATGTGCAGAGAGGTTGGACGTGGTATCCATGGTATCAGCTCGACCGTAGTACTGCTACAAATACCTCTCTTAGGACGCAATTTACTTCTCATCATCATCTTCCTCTTCTTCGACAGCAAATCCCAAAATGCCTGCAGTGTAAGATTGTTGAGGACTTGCAATGCCAAGTTGCACATTCCCTGCTTGCTCTACCTTCTCTTAATCTGCCCTCCATCAGCCAGCATTCTGTTGAAATGAACTGGAACCCTGCATATGTCCTGCTCTGGCGGTGGGTCTGTCGTGTTTTGTGTACCAAAAGCAAGCCTGCAGCTGTGTATCTTGTTATGTCCAAGCCTGTTTTTTCTACTGAAAGCTGGCAGCAGGGACTCCATGTTCTGCTTCAAGACCGCGACAGCAACCATAATCGAAGCACAGCTATCTACGGCCTATACAAATCTCTAGGCCTGAGCAAAGACAAATCAAAGATCCGAGGTTGGAAGGTGCGTTCTACTTTTGCGGTGCGTCTATTTATAGATCGCGTCGACGCCGATTCTGCGGCTGTGTATGTGTTTCTCTGGCTAGTTTGCTGCAGGCTTACCATGATGTGCGAGTAGTGGCGGATTAATTGATGAGTTTGCTGCAGTCCATGATATTTGTAGACTCTAACTTTTCAGCCTCGAGATCAGTGACGAGAAGACCTTGGAGCTCTGCGATGTCTTGTTTTCCCGAAATCCGTTGGGGTTGCACGCATGTTTGCAGCACGGATTCTACAATGCCCGTGATCAGAGGTTCGGTGTAGGTACATGTTCGATGTCCGGCACATCGGCGGGTGTTGTATATACATATTCCTGGAGATTGCTTCCGCTTCCATGTCCTGCACAACGCGTTCCGCTAGTCGACTCCAACTTCATTTCTTTCTATCATGGTCGTACGTGCAGCGACGTCGAACCGGAAGACCTAGTGTCCACGGAGGTGGTCTGGTCTGCTCCGGCATGGGGCGGATGCAGGGTGAGTGCAGCGGGAAAGGAGGGGAAGCCAATGCACACCCATGTACCCCGAACCTCAACAGCCGCGGTGCCCTGCTGTATGGTGTGCTCGCTGTGCCGTTGTGTCGTGTGCTTGCTTGATCTTGCGTGTGTGGAATTGTAGTTATCGAGCATGCGCTTATGACAGACAGTCCGGGTCGAGGAAGAAGTTCGTCGAGCGCTTCAAGGCTCTGCGCATTGTCGAGATAATGATTCACGGCATCCCTCGTTCATCGGTGAAGTCCTCAAAAGTATCAAGTCGATACGAGTCGGCAGCCACAGTCGCGCAGACAAGCGCAGACGGCGCAGGGTAAGGGTATCGCACTCACGCACCCCGCCTCAACACATGCAACTTCATAAGCTGTGTATTGTTGCTATCCAATCAAACCGCAATGCTTATCAGTGTGCTCAAACATGAGCCAATCAGCAACATCACGTCGTCGATGGAGCCTGCTGCGTGAAACGATTCCCCGCATCATTTGCGCTGCTCGGCTTGCAACTCATTTGGCGTGCGCCTCGCTCGGCTCTGTTACTGCCGTTTGGTGGCGGTGAACGTGCTCTTATCAAGTGGGAATCGTTGGTCGATGCCACCTGCCAAGGTAGGCAGCCGTCAAGACCTGCAACAATATCGCGCTGCAAGCACTTTGAACGATTACCAACACCGTGGACAGCAGTCGTGCAGCGACGCAGGTGATGGAAGCGTGAAGTTGGTGTCAGCGGTCGACATTCGTGATGTTCTGAAGATGATCCACATCACGATCCACTGGCGTGATGTAAGGAATGCCATGTTCCAGCATGGCATTTTGGCATTTAAGACCCCACGTGTTCGCGCGACAGACGTGCCCACATCTCGCGTATCTGGCACTCGGTGGTGTGCTTATCGCCGCGAGGTCTGGTGACCACTTCAGACATTTCTTTCGAGGCATGATCGCTCAAAGCAGACTGTCGCAGACCTCAACAGCGTCGCGGTACTTCCCAGTTCGTACTTGGCCACGAATTGGGGGCTGGCATGTAACGCAGAGCACAGTGTGACGGTCCGAGTTGCTCATGTGGGCTTGCGGAGCTGGACGATCATTTGCGCCTCACGAAACTCGGAAAAAGCAAGTGAGCATCTGTAGGACCTTGGAATGAGAAGCGTGAGCTGGCGACACGGCTGGGATGTTGCCTGGTGCAATTTCGAGACATCGTGAGATCGGAGATGTGCGCGCAGGCTACGCACGGTTGTCAAGCCACAAAAGTTGGCAACGGCGTCAACAATCACCGCAACAATATGGCAGGAGCAACCGTCAGCCAGCACAGCAATTGACCGAGGCCTGACCAGAAACGGTGGAAATGACGAGCGCACAGCGCGATTCATGTACTCTTTCACATCGCGCTACGCGCTATCAAAGAGCCCGCGAAAATCCCAGCGGTGAGCGCCGCGGGATGATGTGACTAGCGCCCCGACCCCCATGCCGTCATGATTCTGTGGTCTCCATGGGACCATGATTCGGTAGCGCAGAACCCAGCTTGCCGTACCAATACTCAAGCTTTTCCACGCTGCCTCCCCCGAACCGCCTACATATTGCTCACAGCATGCTGCAGCTGCACGCCTCTGCCCTGTAACCTGCACCCCTCCGGCAGGTTGTCCAGGATCCTCGAGGATTATAGTCGCCCCCCGGCATCCCGAAAGTGCTCGCGGCCCCGTTTCGTTGCCTGCTTGCGTGACTTCTGCACAGGCGATCACCACCAGCCGAAGCAACAGCGTGTATCGCTGAGACAGCTACACAATAATCGCGCACGTCTACCCCACCACGGACCCCGCGAGAACCTCTATATCGTCACCACCCAGGAGATCGCACTTTGCGCCATCATGACGCGCAGGAGCGTATACACCGTGGGCCTGCTGTTCACGCTGGTCTGCACTGCGATGACAGTTGCCAGCATCGCCATGCCGCGATGGGTGTCTTACCGTCCTGTAAGCTGTCTGTTCATCACTGCCGCCTCGCATTGCTAACGTGCGCACCAGAACGGTGAAAGAGAATATTCATACGGTCTCCACTCACGCTGCTCCACGAAAACAGGGCACTGCGTCCCTTTTCCCCGTACCACAGACTGCGACAAAGATGCCTCCTTCTGCAACATGTGGCGCACTGTTGGGTTCCTGATGAGCTTCGGCGTGGTAGTGGAGCTGTGCACGCTGGTCAGCTTTGTTGTCATCGTAGCAGGCGGCGTACAAAGAAGAGTGCAGGGATGGAGCGTAGTAGTAGGAGTATTGGTATTCAGCGCCATCATCCAAGGCGCTGGTATGGCCATCGTGGTGCGTTCCATTCATTTCATCGAAACTGCCGGATCACATACTAATATCCAGCAGTCATACGTCTTCGACCACGACGCCAGATTCTTCTCCGGCTTCGTCCTCGATTCCTCCTGGTCTATGTGCACCGCCTCTTTCTCGCTGCTCGTCCTCACAGCCCTCGGCATCACCGCCAGCGCATACTATCTGCCCGTCGAGGGCGACTATGAGCTCATCCCCGAAATGGACATTGAGCCCGATGACCAGTACGTTCCCCATCCCTCAGTGCTCAAACCCTTCTAACGAATGACAGGCTCCTCTCCCGCGTCGCAGCCTGGGACAACGGCTACAAGCACATCGGCTTCCAGTACCAGAATGAGCCACCTGAACGAGACCCCGATATGATGAGCATTGCGTCCTTCCAAAGCAGACAGAGCATTTCGAATTCTGTGCGCAGTCCCTCGATGTCGAGGCCCCAGCGGTAGCCGATCTACCTCCTCGCACCCACTGATTCTGGGTGGCGAGATGACAACTTGCATGAGATTGTAATGACGGTACTTTGGCATACGGCGGAATGATCGCATTTTGAGCGTTGTTTGGTGCTGGTGCGTTTCCACGGCGGAACGATTGGCGTACGTTGGCATATGATTATTATGCGCGTTATTGTTACGAGTCTGTGGCTTGGCAACTGGTAGTTCTGCTTCCTAATGATACCCCTCTGCTACTTGTCTGGTGGTTTTGAGCGGTTGATTGTGCGGTATGTACGCATTGAGCTTGCAATTGACGATTTTTGCATCGCGGGACAGCCATTTAACATGATAGCGAGAGCGATGACAATGACCAGGTGTACGTTTCACGCGCTGGCTTTCGAGAGTCTGTCATGTTACGACGGCGATCAAATTGAAGCTCGCAATCAACACGATCCTACCTCGTTCAATTCAGGAGCGTTCCCGCGCGCCACCATCAAGTCGTCGGCTGTTGCATGTGGGTATTCCATATTTTCAGGCACCCTACCAACCAGCCATAATTCATTTTCAGCGATATTCCAACATTCAGCAGAGACGAAGCAGCCCAAAAATATCGTTATTTCGAGTGTTTTTGAGAGAAATCTTGAGCGTTGCACACCCACTCAGCATATCAGATCTCGGCGACTCTTTTCATGGTGGGAGGAATGGTTGGTCCGGGTAAAGAGCAGGACGGACGACGAGAGTTTTATATTTCGAGGGGATCGAGATCATCACATCAGAATATTCTCAGTGCAATTCTGATGCTGCATAGCGAGAAGTGGCATGGCATGTGTGTCCCTTTTCCAAGCATTCAGATGCCAAGGCACTGCTGCTCCACACATGTATTTTTCTTTGACATTTTGGGCAGCAGGAACAAGCGCATATAACATTGCGCTCGATCGGTTCGTGAGTTGATACCAGAACAGACGCAGTCCAGCCATAACACGGCTCGTGGCGCGTTTTCGACAAAACCACCACGGCGGCACATGAGGCGCAGCGGAAACATTTTACAGTGTAAGGAGAGACAGGTGTAGAGTAGAGACGAGGCGCGCATGGAGCTTAACATTGTAATGAGAGCGTTGCGCATATCGAGCAGTCTGTTCTCTAGTGCGACAATGCGCGAAAAAACGGGCTACAGCCCATGAGGGCATCTTCTGACGTGTTGTTTGGACAGTAAATCATAAGGATTCAACGCAGTCAAGACCTTGAACATTGCAGTGACACTTTTGCTTCAGTTCCTTTGATATTTTGGCGCCGCACAAGGGCACACATCGCTCAGATGATGCAGCTTTTAAGTTGCCCCCAGGACAGAGGCACTCCGGGAATTCGGGTCATCGTGTAGCCTTTGACAAGGCATCCACAGCTACTTCGTAGAAGATGAAGATCTTGCTTGTGGCTTTGGAGAGTGCCGAATATGGTTTTAGTGACAAAGAATCCGAGCCGGATATAGATCTTTATACGCAACGATTGTTTTGCACATATGTAGGCACAAAGGCCGCTTTGGAAAGTGGACAGAAGAAGACGACGGGGCACATGGCATTATCGGTGCCTGAATTTAGATTCTGGACCATGCCTGGAAAATAGAACATTGGTAGTACTTAGGCCTCGGGCTTGGTACGTTGACTGCTTCGCTGGACGGCCATGACCTTGTTTAACTAGGACTTGTGTTCTTTGCGTCATAGTGGGTAACCTCGTTGATTTTGGAGATAATTTTGGCACAGATGTTGAAGGGACAGGCGTATGAATGTCTAGCATTTTCCTGATGATGAGCTGTTCTTGTTTTTAGAGAAGACGCAGGGCAGGTTGTGGACTCTTATTCGCCACTTTTGAGAAAAAAGAGCTGAATGTAATGAAGAAGGTTCACTGCATCCGTTAGAGGTTTATATATTGATCGCAGTCCTACTCGCGTTCCCGGATCCGAGCTGGTTTGGCAGCGTACAGTCAAGGAAAACCCCGGATATAGGGCTTGTTTGCTGCTCTTTTTGGTTACATGATTGGATGAGTGGAGGGTATCTTTTGGCTTTGGTTTTGCTTTTAAGTTGTCCAGCGTATTGTCGTCCATAACCGAGCTTTCCGACATAGGTTGATCGTGGCTTGCTTTCATGTATTGAGAGATTTACTTGAACAGCGCGAGACAGAGGTAAGCAGTTGGCCACTTTACATGGCCTTTGGCTGAATTTACAAGGCAGAAAACGCCTCCATATGACGATAGTGCAGATGGAATTTAGCAGAAGTCGCGACAGTGGGATATGGGCCTTGTAGTACTCGTTTTGATGAGCTCGGAAGAGGGTTTTGAACAATGGAAGAAGTCGCAATCTGCAGTTTTTGTTTCAGAGCTGAAAGATAGACTCACTTACGTGGATATGTGGAACTCAACGATGATTCTCACTCATTAACCGAATATTGAGATGATCTGGCAATGTACCTTGATGATCACGAACGAGATGTATGCTGTATTGTTTGCTTTTAGCACATCCGTACGCTTTTTTAGGGAAAATATGCATCAATTTTTCCGGGAGGACGACGACCATAGGTGGCCAGAATGTAGAGCATTCAACATAAACAAATTTGCAGTAAGCGGGTCCATACATGATACCACAGTATTTGAGATGTTGGTACCAAGTTTAAATTGAAAAGTAAGGCAAAATGGTCCTCTTCTTTTAGCAGACACACAGGTAAGATACAAACATGATGTGAATAGCGCCTTGAACGTACTTTTGCGACCTTATCCTTGTAAGCACATGTAGATATTACATGGAGGCTATGCAAGTAAATGAATGGATGAGCAGAGAGACGACAGGAATTGAGCAAGGAATAGCTATTGATACTTCAGTCTAGCAGCTGAACAACCCTCAACTTTCCATTCTCTTTTGGAACGATAGAGAGAAAGGTCGAGCCTGGACATGTACCTGGCCAAGAACTTCTTGATGTGAGTACGGCGATCAGGACAATATAGCAAGACAACGGGGATTCGAGAAGTAGCTCCAAGCAAAGACATATGGAGCATGGTAGTTTCACATACCCTTTTGGGACGGCTGGAATCCTTGACATAGGCACGGCAGCTCGAGTAGTGATAGTTAATACATCGTGCGATCGGAGACTCGCAGAAAGCAGAATTGTGACGGTAATTCATTTAGGTGGCTCAACCAAATAACCATAGTGGTGCCAGTTTCGGTTTCGGTTCACGTGATAGAAATCATTTACGATTGCATTAATTCAAGACTAAATCAGACAGTCCAGCGAACAGCGAAAGCGCGAGTCGAATCATTATCACGCCTTCCGTCCACATCTTCAGCTTTGACTGCCTTTCCAGATATGTCAAGATGCAGTCACAAGTTCCAGCCTTAGCCGTCCAGCATCTATGGTCAGAGTGGTACACCGAGTGTTGACTCAGGTATCTCGAAACCACTTGGAATCGAGCTTTTTATTGCCGTACGGCCAAACGGTAGATGATACGCGGCAGTGAAGCCCCCCCCCCCCAACACCCTCATCTCCTAGTAACCTCAAGCATGAGCCGACGGCCTCTCGGTGCAATATTGAACCGATCCTCCATCTCCATCTCCCAGTGCGCCATCTCCGGGCCAAGTCTGAGCTTGAGCCCAGCACGCATGACCGCGCTGACAGCTAAATAGAGCTCCTCCCACGCCAAATTCTGACCGATGCAGTTTCGTCGCCCGATACCGAAAGGTGTAAGAGAAGCCTCCATCGCTTCAGTGCTGTGGAGCCAGCGCTCGGGGTTGAATCGGTCAGGGTCCGGGAACACGTCAGGATTACGGTGGTGGATCCAATTCTGCATCCCGACCACGGTGCCCTTGGGCAGGAGGTACTCGTCTACTTGTAAAGGCTCTAGAAGGACTCGTGGCAAGGTTGATACGATCGTAGGGAACCGGCGAAGTGTCTCCTTGATGACGGCGTTCAGATAAGGGTGTTGACGGAGAGCACTGATGTCGCCTGATGGCACAGCGTTGATTTCGTTGTACAGCCGCTGCTGCACATGCTCATTCTCCGACAGCGATAGCGCGTACAGTAGATACGTCATGGTTGACGATGTAGTCCCGCTGCCAGCAAACATATAACCCATGGCTTCTTCGACCAGCTCTTCGTGGGTCAAACGCCGTCCCAGGTAACCATCAATGCCGGTGGCAATTGGTGAGAGCAGATATTTCTCATCAGAGGATGACTTCTCAAGGAAGTGATCCACCATATTCCTGGACTGCTGTTCCCAGTATCGAAGACTTCGATATGCGTCGCCGATGACTCCTGGCAACCTGACGCCGAGGCCAGTAGGGCGGAGAAACGGGAACACGACATCGAGGATAAGTGTGGGGGCACTGCCGTCCATTGCACGCAAGAGCTTAAGAGAGCTCTCGGCACCACCGGAGCCCTCGAAATCTTTGGCGAAAGCCGCCTTGCAGATCGTTTCAAAGCTGAAGAGGCCACATAGCTTGTAAGCGTCGGCAGTGTTTGTTGTTGATGCACTAGCCTCGGTGACCAGGCGATGAGCAAGATCGTCTGCCTTCTGCTGGATCAAGGGATCCAACTTGCTTACGGACTGCAAAGCATAGGGAGGGCTGCTTAGTTTGCGGCGCGCTGCATGCTCAGTAGGGTTGCTGTTCATTGGTCAACGGGTGTTGCGCTACAAGCCTACAGCATGTTCATACACCATTTGGAAGATATTGTTTTTGCCAACGAACGAAGCATTCGCGTAGAAAGCAGGATCTTTCTCCACTGTTTTCGGGCTGGCATAGATTGCTCGAAGGTGTCGCCAGTTGGCGATGGACACCTCGTTGGGCCCTACACGTACAACATCGCCGTACTTGTTGTGCAACTCATCAAGCGCCTTGGTGTCAAGTATGATCAGCATCTCGGAGAAGGTTTCGGTACCACAAAGCTGACGTACATACACTCGGCGACCTTTGACTCCTTCAATCGCCAGCGACAGATTGGACAGGCGGGCGGCGAAAGGACCAGGTATATGCCGTAAAGAGCTAAAGAAAACGCGACGTGTACACTATCATTATCGTGAGCATGAGTCACAAAGGCTAATCACGCAACTTTGTAACAGTTGTACTTACGACGAGCAGAAAGTAACATGAAGCAAGCACTACAGTTGAAATGAGGAACAGGGAGCGTATCGTGAATTCGTTGAAGGTGAACATGATTGACTGAATAAGCGGAACTGCAGACTATGAGAGTGTCGATGAACAGAGTCGAAGGTGGCTGCAGATGAAGGACTCCATGTGCTTCTTCAGTATCGCCGTCGAACTGCCCAGGTCCACCGTTAGGCACTGCCGACCTTCGCATCTGCGGGGTAACGAGTCAAGCTCTGCTCAATGCTTGTCTGGGAGCATGGGTGCGGTTCCGGGTAATGCAATCAAGCCGCTATTCGTTGTAGTAGGTCAGGTTCGCCATGCGGCAGCGATAGAACGGCCATTCGGGAAGTGGAGTCCTCTCACCCGCAGCACTGCAACATCATCGCTCCCATTGGCTTGTCGGACTCCTCGGGCTCCAGGTGATAGAGCAGTATGACCGCACTCAACGGACGATCGGATGGTCAAGAGAAATACCTAGGAGAGTTATAGGGACAAGCTTCCAAGGGACGAGCATGGCAAACGTTGTGTTTTCCTTCGCGTATTTTCCTCGAACACCCCAACACCACCAAAGACCAATCGCGATATATGAAAGCACTCAACTCGCTGCATCGTATTGAAAATGAGTCAACAATACCGCGGTAGGGATTTGTTGATTTGATGCGAGATGTCCGGGATATCAGAATACAGCTGTTGACGACGACCCCATTCACAGCAACATGCAGAATTCGATGTCGATATGTACATCTGGAACGTACACATCTCACCTGCCAGTGTCTTCCCAGCCTGCGCACATAGTCTTCTCCATCTCCCCCCTCGTCGCGCTCAGCCACCTGGCCCACCCAGCTGAATCACCAGCTGGTCACCACCCATCTCACCATCATCCTTCACGACCTTAGTCTTCTCCACCTCCCGCTTCCGCGCTTTCTCCTTCTTCTTCGCACGCGCATCATCCCGCCAACTCGAGCCACCAGCACCAGCCACCTCATAGGTAAGGCTCACCCACAACCCCATCAACGTCCTCCTCTCATCGTCATGTTCTGCGCCGCTGTTTCACTGTTCCTCTGCACCCTGCTCTTCCACGGGTCATATGATGCGATCGGAAATGAGATGGAAAATGAGGATGAGGATCTGCATATGTATGTATGCATGTATGCTACTTGGTGCGTTACCTGCGCGGTACCTGATCCAATCCTTGTATCAATAGCATCATATCCGCCCCCCATCCCATGCCAATGGCCACCTCTCCCCATCGCACAAACTCTACCGCGCATTCCCCAACACAGCCTTGCGATTCCGCTTAACAAGCGCGCCCAACTTCCTCTCGAGACTATCCTGCTCCTTCTTCGCACTGCTAAGCACACTCTCCGCCTCCTCAAGCCCGAGCACAGCCCTGCCCTCCCCCCTACCCACAGGCTTGCCCTTATCTAGATACGCGCCCAAATTCTCCACGTTGCGCGCCGCCCTCCTGTCCCAGCCGAGGTGCTCCAGGTCCCGCAAAAACCTGTCCGTGGACTCACTCTCGTACAGCGACCCGATCGACGGGATCCCCGCCGACACCAGGCCCTGCAGCCCAGAGAGCCACACGCCGCCGTCCTTATCGGGGGATAGGGATGCCACGCCATCGATGTCGGTGCTGCCCACCGCGCCGCCTTCGACGAGGGCGCGCGCCGCACGCTCGAACAGCGTGCCTTGCTGCCCCGACGAGGCTATGCTGATCTGGCTTGTCCCGCTACCAGGCGTGCCGCCTACGGCTGCCATTTCGGGGCGCGGGTGGTTCGGCGGCGGGTTGTCTGTCGCGGGGAGGACGAATTGGTTGAGGTATACGCCTGCGTCAGCGGGGGTCTGCTGCTGGACTGGTGGCGGGGGCTGGTGAGTGAATTCTGTAACAGGCGGCAGGTGTTGGGTGTAGGTCTTGTAATCGAAGGTAAGCGTGTTGGTCGGCGAGTTGGGCATCTTCTTGCCAGCTTCCTTAAGCGCAGTGGCGATGGCAGGGAGCATGTCTGAGGATGAGTATGGGACGGCGTTGTGCTGGGCCGTGTGCAACGAAGGGTGAAAGCGCAGGTAGCCGCTGAGTTTCTCGATCTCGGACTCGAGAAAGAGCGCACGCTCCTCCAGTTCGGCGGTGAGGCCCCAGAGGAACTTTCCATTCGGTGTGATAAGAGTGCGGGAGTCAGGCTTGTCCTTATCCCCACCAAGATGCACAGGCTTCTTCTTTGCAAGCGCGTCGAGGTCAGCCTGTGAGAAGTGGATTCTCTGGTCTGGTGGAGACGTAGGTGCAGCCGAATGAGGTGTCCGAGAGGTATGTGTGAGGGTCGAAGAAAGTGGTTTGAAGAATTCCAAAGCAGAGACATTGATGTCGCCAGTCTTCTGCAGATCATTAAGGATGGATTGTGCACTGGGCTCACGCCTTTCTCTTCCTTCGTCAGTCTGCACTTCGGGCTCAGGGGTTGCGCTGGTAGAGTTATGCGCAGACTGTGCTTTGACTAAGGCAACTGTTGGTGTCTCCAGTGGCTCGTCCTCCACAGTGGCACTCCTGGGCGATGCAGGCTGGCTCCTCGCTGCAGCCTCCTTCATGGCCGAGGCCATGGCGGCCACTGGCTTGGGAGTTGTCGATGGCTTCTTGGCCTTCTTTTTGCGGCCAATGATCGGAGCTTGCACAACCTCAATATCCGACCCATTCTCTACCTTCTCCTTCTCTTCTTCTTGCCGCTTGCGCTCTTGTCGGTTCTTTTTAGCTTGCGCTTTGGTAATTTTCCTCACAGGCGCAGAGCCAACAATACTACTTGATGGAGGTGGCGAATTTGCCCGGGAGATCATATCCGAGGTCATTGATGCCGTGTCAGAGATCAGTTCGCTGGCCGGAGTGCCGGGCTGGTTCAATGACGCAATGCTCGCCTGACGCGACCTGAGCTTGTCCACGGTAGGAAAATGGGGAAGAGGAGGAGTCGGAGCAGCCACGGCGGGTGGTGTCTCGGCCTTTGGGGTCGATACCAGTCTCAGTGTACGTGGTGCAGCGGTGTGCTTGATGGGCGAAGGTGCCGCAACAGCCGGGCTTGCAGGTACTGAGGTGGCTTTTGTAAAGGGGACGATCCGCATGGTCTTCGTCTGCGTTTCTTCTTTGCGCGAACTTGTGATAGGCGAAGGCTCTGTTCCTACAATCTTGGTCAAAGGAATGTCGAGCTGGCCAGGATGCTGTCTCTTAGTTGCTGCAGTAGGGATTCCAGGGGCAATCGAGACATCGGCAGTCTCTTTGGCGGTAGTCTTACGGCTGGCATCTTCGGCTGGACCCTTCTCGGCCTTCTTGTTCGCTGCCTTGCTCTTTTCTGTGACCTTTGCGGGCGTCTCCGGCGCCGGTCTCTTGTCCTTGACCTCTGACCTTTTCACCGCCACATCCGCCGCCATCTTACTCGAAGATGCGGCCGCAGTGGGTGTTTTCGCGGCAGAGGTTTTTAGGGACGATTTAGTCGGCGTCGCGGGCACAGTCTTTGAGCTTGCAGCAGGAGTGGGATTAGCTGCCTCGGCGGCCTTTGCAGCCTGCTTGCCTTTTTTGCCCTTCGCAGGAGACTCTGGCTTCACCAGCGTCATGGGAACGACGGGTACAGCGGGCACGATAGTGGAGGAGGCTGTTCTCGACATGGGACGGGAACCAGGGCGAGAGCCCGGACGCGACGCAGCTTCATCGGCGAGGGCTCTGGAGATAACTGGAGCAGTGAAGCCTGGCGGTATCAAAGGCGTCGATCGCCGAGGCTGCTCGAAGAAATGTCCGCTCAGAGGGGTTGCCAGCGGGCGACGCACAGGCTCGTTCTCGTCATCGTTGACGAGCGCATCGACATCGAGCGTAGCTTGGTCGTCGAACGTTGTACCTACTGTGCATGAACGTTAGCAGCTGGTTTGATGCAAGCCTACGAGAACGTGAAATGGTGGCGGTCGACAACAACAGCAGTGCGGAGCGGTGAATGACTACAGGAGGCAACGCTGAAAGCACTGGGTACATCAATTTGCAAAGGCAGTCCTCTCAATCATCTTCGTCACTTCAAAGGCAGAAGGATTGTAAGGAAGCCATCTCTCTATTAGAAAGTAAGCATGCCGACTAGTACGCGGCAGGAAGGGGACGTTACGTACATGCGATGGCAATGACGAAGATGACGAGAGAAGTTGACGAGAGAAGTTGACCCAGGCGTCTGACAAAGCAGCGTTCCACCAAAGTAAAGAAAGACATGAATAAGATGCGAGGTATTGAAAATCCATGAAATCGTGCCGAAGCCAGTGACCTGTGCCTGTGGCTGGCCGTTCATTAACGCCGGGCAACTCAATGCCTTTGCACTGTTGGTATGCCGATGCAGTGTTGCCAAAACCCAAAACGCCGTGCGTCGTTGCCGCATAGAGAAGCATAAAGACAGTATATCTGACCCAGCGGCCGACTAAGTATGTGAAAGAAGCGAAATGTCTACCACCGTCCGGCACCGCCGAAGTTGTTGTTGTTCGCGTAAAGAGAAGAGAAACCGTTTTGGCCTTGGCCGTACGGTCCTTGCCCAGCCATGTTCGCCTGATGCAACCTCGCCTGTAAGATGCTCGGGTCTTGCATGTCAGCCATACCGCCTCCTGCAGAGGAAGTTGTGTTGGCATGGCGATGCTTCTTGCCCTTCTTCTTAGATTTCTGCGAACCAGACTCCTGGTAAGCACCAGGCGAGGGTCCATAGGGGAAGTTCAGCAGGCCAGGGGCAGGGGAGGTGGAAGTGGAAGGATGTTGGTTAAGGAAAGAAGGAAACATTGACTCACGCTTACCAGAATCAGCCGTCCTAGCACCACCGTTGCGGAGCAAATCCTGATACAGCTCGTTGGTGTTTCGGTTGGCTGCATTCGCGCCGTAAGGCAAGCCGCCAGTGGCGAAGCCATGCCCCTGAGCGAACATGTTGGTTCCGCCGACAGGCGGAGTGCCAGTGGGCTTCAGGCCTGGGGGTGGGCCCTGCACATTGGTGAAGAACTGTCCGCCCAGAGCCTGGTGCTGAGGCATCTGATTGAACTGGGTCGCGTTCTTTGGCATCATCGAGTTTTGCTGGTTCATAATCTTCTGGCTTGCGACGGGCTGGACATTTGTCGACGCAGAAGCACCGTCATTGGCGAAGTTGAAGCGGGACGTGTGCCTAGCATGGCCGGGCGCATTTGCTCCGAGATTCTGTTGGTTCTGGTTGCCCTGCAGCGTGGAGAGGAGTGCAGCAGACTGCGGCCCAGACTGAAATTTCGAGAGCAGAAGTTGCTGCTGTTGCGCCGGCGTCAAAGCCCGGTTGTTCAGACCAAGATTGCTAAAGTCGTCCGCGAGGGAACCGGAGCTGAACAAGTTGTTGCCGAATCCCTGCTGGCCTGAGCCAATGACATGCTGGTTTTGGTGGACGCTGCCGGTTTCGTGGTTTCCCTCGGGCTCCCCGCCAAGTTGAAGGCTGCCTCCAGCTGTCGTTTCATGCTCTTCAGACTCTGCCGCCGCTGAAGCCGGCTGAGGCTGCTCAGCAGCTTTGGCCTGAATTTCAGCTTCGCGCTGCTTCAGAAGCTCCTGCTCCTTCTCCCTCATCGCACGACGTTTGGCACCGCCATTCGGATCCAAGAGTTGAGGAAAGTCCACAATGGCCTTGAAATCCTCCTCGGAGAGCGCCTTGCTTGAGAATACAAATTTGAAGTCAGAGTTGCAGATGGTCCTGAGAAGGCCCTCAAAGACTGAAGCAGGCTGCTTCACTGGTTTGGGCTCCGGAGACGCATTCTTAGACTTCTGGGCTGCCTTTTCCTTTGCCTTCTCCTTCTTTCGCTCTTCCTTCTTCTCCTCTTTCCTGGTCTTTGGTTTCGGCACTGGCTCCTCCACCTTGAGTGATTCTTCCTTCTTCGGCGCCGGGGTTGGCGCTTTCGAGGCCTGCGCAGGGGTAGCACTCTGTACCATGGGGCTCGGATGCGATGCGGTAGTCGAGCGACTGGCACGACGCTCGAGCGCTGCTTTGCTTGCCCATCCAGCCGTTGCTGGGAGGCCCGGTGCGTCTTGCGTAGGACTCGATCCCTCGTTGCTGTGCTGTCGACTCATCGGTGCAGCGGCCGTGGTTGTGGCGGCCGAGACGGGGGGGCCAGGATGGGCGGGAGGTGCAGAGCGAGACGTCGACGATTGCGCAGGCTGCTGCGTCTGGATCGAATTCATCATGGACAAATCCTGGCGCGTGAAGCTCTCGTTGTCTTCGCCGGGTTCGTGCAGGAACATGCAGTTACGGTTGTTGCACTGCTCGCCGCGGAGGTAGGCCGAGCAGTATTTGGTTGTGCCATACTGCGCCCTACGATGCATGAGCATGCTATGCTACAAGTGAGCAGGCCGGACGAAACATACCTCAGCACCCTCTCACCATTCTGGGAGCCATCGACTGCGGTGATACAGGCCTCGGCGTCGTCCTTGCGTGCAAAAGTGACGTAGACACCCACAGACTGTTGGTGTTGGGCATTCTCGCGCGCTTTGCTGACGACGATCTTGATGATCTTGCCGTACTGTCCAAAGTAGTCTGGGCCGCGGAGCGTGTCGAGCAGGCGGTCCTCGCGTATCGTTGGGGTCAGACCCGTCACGTAGACAAGGTTCTTCTGGACGACACGCAGGCCGGCGAGGTGCTTGCGGCTGAGCGAGTCGGCCTCGGCCTTTTGCGCTTCCTTCTGCCGTATCTGGGCGTTCTTCTTGGCCTTCTGCGCAATCTGCTGCTTGTGCTTGGCCATCCTGTGTGCTGTTAGGGGTGCAGTCAGGGACGGGCGCGGGGGACCCACTCTTCGGGCGTGATGTTCCTGAACTCGATGGTCGAGTCGTCGTAGGGACGGCGACAGGCGGGACACAGCCCGTTCATCGTTGTCTTGATGTTGTTGTAGCAGAACTGACATATCTGGCAGCGCGTCAGCACGGGCGGCGGCAGGCGGCGTCACGGCGGGTTGGCGGTGGATATGGGCGTACTTGGTAGCCGCAGGGGCACGGGCGGAAGTTTCTGTCCGACAGGTCGAACTCCTCGACGCAGAGCGGACAGCACTCGTCCTCGTCGTCGTCGACAAACTGGTCGTACTGGAGGCGCGACATTGCGGGCGTCGAGTCGCAGTCGTGCTGGGCGGCGCTGCGGGCTGTCAAGTGGCCACCGGGTGGGATCGTGCCGCGGCAGAGGACGATAAAGATGCAGGCGGTTGGTAGAGGGGGACGTGGGGAGCGTGGCAGATGCAAAGGACGCAAACAAACGCCGGCCGGGTCAAGAAGAACGAAAGAGATGCACTGCGTTCGGGGGCAGAGCGGATGAGGGAGCGCTCTGCAGCCCGGTGCACCTGCAAGAGACTGTCCGCTAGGATGGCGCACGGGCCGCCCTTCTTCCCGCGTGCAGGCGGGCGTGGAGAACGTCAGTATACTTGGTAGTATCGCAGCCACCCACGCCTTCACCATCCCATTGCCTGCCCCGCACAGCCGCACCCGCCCGAAGACACACACCATGGCAATGAGGCTCGCAGCCAGCCGGCCATTGGCCGCCGTCGCGCGCTCGACGGCCGCGCGCGCATTCTCGACGAGCGCGCTGCGGGCGAAGGAGATCGCAGGCGAGAACACGGAGACGCCCAACATGCGGGTAGGCATGGGAGACAGATGCCAGCGCGGCCCCCCCAGCTGACACGGACGCAGTACGCCCCGCGTAATCCCTCGGAGACGCTCCAGCGCGCCATTGTCAACCCGCTCGACAAGTACAAGACCAAGGGCGAGGGCCTGCACACCTACGGCAACTACCTGATGTCGTGCCTGCCCAAGTACATCCAGCAGTACGCAAAAGCATGACCATGGACTTCGCCGCGACTGCGCTAATCTGTCCAGGTTCTCCGTCTGGAAGGACGAGCTCACCATCTACATCCCCCCGTCTGGTGTCCTCCCGGTCTTCACCTTCCTGAAGAACCACACGGCCGCCGAGTACACCCAGATCTCCGACATCACCGCCGTCGACTACCCCACCAAGGACCAGCGCTTCGAGGTCGTCTACAACATGCTTTCCATCCGCCACAACTCGCGCTTGAGGGTCAAGACCTACGCTGACGAGGCCACCCCGGTCCCGTCTCTCTGCGACCTCTACGACGGCGCCAACTGGTACGAACGCGAGGTCTACGACCTGTTTGGTGTCTTCTTCGTTGGCCACCCTGACTTGCGCCGCATCATGACCGACTACGGTTTCGACGGCCACCCACTGCGCAAGGACTTCCCAATGACCGGATACACTGAGATCCGCTACGACGAGGAGAAGAAGCGGATCGTCGTCGAGCCGCTCGAGATGACCCAGGCCTTCAGGAACTTCCGCGGCGGTTCAGCAGCATGGGAGCAGGTCGGCCCTGGACAAGAGACAACACCAGAGAACGTAAGCAACGAAATCATCTGCATGGCCTCACGTGCTGACATGCCTCACAGTTCAAGCTGCCCACACCCAAGCCGGAGCCGCCGAAGGAGGGCGAGCAGAAGAAGTAGAAAACTAGAGCAAGATTTTGCGACTTGTAAATACATGAATCAATTACCTGTACCATCGTCTCGAGCTTCAGACCCAACGCTTAGTCATAGTCGAAGTGGATGCGTCTGATTGGCTGATAGTCGGGGGCCTCGGCTGAATGTCGGGGCCTCCCCGCTCTATCGGGTAAGGCCCATGTCGATCATGTCAGGCACCGCATCGCGAGCCACCATCTGACGGCTGACCATACGCAGCACTCCAAACTGAGGGCTCACTGCAAGGCGCTGGTACCTCGAGCTCCATTGCCAAGATAGCCCCTCACTGCATCACGACATGCTGCATGCCAGGACGTAACAACGCCGGAGTGGCTGTCCGCTAAGCCGTACAGCGGATCTATAAGACGCATTCGTAGCTTCATGGCGCTCCCGACTTTGACTCGTATTGCTAATCCATCGTCTACCTCTGCGTGTCTTATACCAAGGCTGAAACTGGCGGTATAAGTAGCAGTCATACTCTCTCGTGTTTTCTTTCCATCATACCTCATCATTCTTCTCACCCTCTCACTCCTGGCTTCAACCCCACTCGCAATGGCAACCGACACCAACACCACAACCACCAAGCTGGAGCCTTTCAGCCTGTCGTCTCCCCCCGGAACCGACATTTGGCGCAAAGCGCCCTCGCACAACGCCTTCAACGCACCCACCCACCCCTCGCCCCTGCCCACGCACAAGCTTCATACCTTCCAACGCGCCCGCCTCACCTTTTCGCTCCCGCCCGCCAACCAACTACGACAGTACGATCAAGCGGGCCTGCTCCTGCACCTTACCAAGCCAGGCGTTGCAGACGACAAAACTAAATGGCTGAAGACGGGCATCGAGTGGTACTACGGCAAACCGTACATCAGCACCGTTGGCTGCGACGCCTGGGCGGACTGGAGCGTCGTGCCTATCCCCGGGTTTGCTGGCAATGACTCGCGACCGAGCGCGATTATTGAGGCGAGGCGCGAGAGGGATGTGCTGGGGAAGAGTCTCTGGGTGTACTGGGTTGTGAAGGGGGAGGATGGGGAGGAGCAGCGTATCCCGTTGAGAGAGGTCAATTGGTTTTTCGCAGAGGAGAAGGGCTGGAGTGTGGGGATTGGGGGTTATGTTGCTAGGCCTACGGAGGAGGGTGGGGATGGAGAGCTGGAGGTGGAGTTTGCCGAGGGGGTGGAGCTTGAGGTTTTGGATTGCTGATGTGTTTTGAAGCGCACTCCATGTCAATGGTCTGTGCCGGGCCTGAGGAGTTGATTCTGTATCTCACGGATTGCAACCAGTAGCGCAATGTCATTAAATTTCACTGCCGCTTACCTTGTACTCCAATAGTCTTTGAAGTCAATCTGTGTCAGTGGAATTCACTTTGCCACGGAATTAGACCTTGATTTTGCAACCACAGCATTATCCATATGCGGTACGCAGACGTAGTGACGATGTGTAGTGGCGATCCTAATCAGGAAAGACCAACCGAGGCATCCACCTGCCTCTGCCTCGATCATTCCTACACCAACACAATCAATTGCAGGGCACTGCAGACAGCGTTCTGGTTGTAAGGTAATCTCCAGCAACTTCAAAATCCGGATCAACAGCAGAGAAGCATCCTCGCAAGGGACTTCACCGCAGAGAAAGAGAAGGGTTGGGACCAGCAGCATGGCCGTTTACGACATGGACGATGCTCTCAGCACAGCGCGAAGCCAACACGTCTCCAAGGCACAGTCAAAGCAATCTTCAAACCCAACAACAGAAATCAGTGAACGATACAACCGCCCTATTGCCGCTGCACAAGAATCCGGGCTCCCCATCATCGACATTTCCTCCTACCTGGACCCGAATTCGTCCCTGGAAGCACGGCAGACGACAGCCCAAGCCATAAATGCCGCCTGCGTAAACTACGGTTTCTTCTACCTCACCGGCCACGGGGTCCCCACCGCGAAGCTGGACGAGATCATCGACCTAGCGCGGCAATTCTTCGCCCTGCCCATCGAGGAAAAGAACAAAATCAAACGCTACGACGCCGGCGGCCCCGAGGGCGGCGACTCAGCGCGCGGCTACCAGGGCCTGGGCGAGAACGTGACCGGCGGCCTGCAGGACATGCAGGAAGCAATCGACTTCTACCGGCCATGGTCGGGCGTCGTCGAGCAGGGCGACGGCGGCCCGGGGACGAGGAAGACGCTCCAGGGCCCAAACTTGTGGCCCGAGAAGCCGGTCTCGCTGAGAGCAGAGTACGAAGCGTACATTGCGCAGGTCACTACCGTCGGGCGCGCGCTGGTGCGCGCCATGGGCGTTGCGCTGTCTCTCGGCGCGGCAGACCCGGACAACGCAGCGGACGGGAGCGCGGAGGATGAGGACGTGTTTGCGCGCAATTGTGACGAGAGTTTCTGGGTGATGCGCATGATCAACTACCCGCCTCTGTCTGCATCCGTCGTGCCCGCGGCAAACGGCACGCACCAAGACCCCGGCCAGTTCTCGTGCGGCGCGCACACAGACTACGGGTGCGTGACGCTCCTGCTTGCAGACCCGACGCCGGGCGCGCTGCAGGTACAGCTCAAAGACGGTACGTGGCTACCCGCAGACCCCATCCGCGGCGCCTTCGTAGTCAATATCGGCGACATGATTGAGCGGTGGACGAACGGGATGTGGAAGAGCACCATGCACCGGGTCATCCATCGGGGCGACGGGGGAGTGAATGGCGCACAGGGAGGGGGAAGGGTCAGTGTGCCGTTCTTCTTTGAGCCGAATTTCGATGCGCTGGTTAGGCCGCTGGGGAAGTGTGTGAGGGAGAGTGGGAGGGAGAGTGTGCATGGGGGGAGTACGTATGGGGAGCATTTGCTGACGAAGGTTTTTAGCAATTTTTATTATAGTAAGAGGACGGATTGGTAGTAGAACGAAGACTGTCTGCGAGGGCTCCAGCTCTGATGCGTACTTGGTCAAAAGTGAACTCTGATGGTTGAGGTCCAGTAGGTCCTCAGGAAAAAGTTCGTGAAATGTCATGCGTCCTCAATCAACACGAAGAATCAGACACGATTGCCAGCCAAGCCTGTCTATTAGATGATAGTTGTTACCGTCATTTGTCAGCCACTTCATGCCTCAACGAAGAGAGTACGCGGTTTGGCATGTGTTAGGGAAGCGTGACAAAAGGGAGTCCCTGACACATGACGCACTAGGCGGTGAGCCCCACCACGTCCGTAAACAAGGGTCCAGTCAACAGCAACGAGAAACCTTGGGGCCAGATACGCAATTGCAGCCACAACACGCCTCCCTACCCTTCCCAAACCTCACCTTGAACACTCCACGGCGTCAAGATGAGTCTCCAAGCGCCCTCCCTCTCGCTGCGCTCCAAGAGCCCGTCGCGCAACAGCGGCGCCACCAAGGCGGTGATCCTGGTAACCACTTTCTGAGCACGCAGTGTACCACGCAATGTTTGCTCACAACTGCAGGTCGGAGGCCCGTCCCGCGGCACAAGGTTCAGGCCTCTGTCCATGGAGCTGCCCAAGGTGTGTGCCCTCATCTTCCCCCGAGCCGCGCCACAACTGACCCCACCAGCCACTGTTCCCCGTCGCCGGCCACCCCATTATCGAGCACTGCTTCCGCGCCGTCGCAGCGGTCCCCGAAATCAAGGAGGTCTTCATCGTCGGCTACTATGAGGAATCCGTCTTCCAGCCCTTCATCAACTCCGTCTCGACCACGTGGCCGCAGCTGAGCGTCAAGTACCTGCGCGAGTACCAGGCCCTGGGCACCGCCGGCGGCCTCTACCACTTCCGCGATGTCATCCTCAAGGGTCGGCCCGAGAAGCTGTTTGTGCTCAACGCCGACATCTGCTCGTCGTTCCCCCTGCAGGAGATGCTGCGGCTGTTCGACGACAAGGACGCCGAGGCCGTCATGCTGGGCACGCGCGTCGCCAACGACTCGGCCTCCAACTTTGGCTGCATCGTCTCGGACGCCCACACCAAGCGCGTGCTGCACTACGTCGAGAAGCCCGAGTCGCACATCTCGAACCTCATCAACTGCGGCGTCTACCTCTTCTCCACCGAGTGCATCTTCCCCGCCATCCGCTCCGCCATCAAGCGCCGCACCGAGCGCCCGCGCCTGCTCTCCTACCCGTCCTCGGAGAACCTCGATTCGTCTTTCTACCAGGGCGACGACGACGACGAGGACAAGGCCAACCTCGTCATCCGCCTCGAGCAAGACGTCCTCTCCGACATTGCCGACTCGCGCCAGTTCTTCGTCCTCGAGACCAAGGACTTCTGGCGCCAGATCAAGACGGCCGGCTCCGCCGTCCCCGCAAACGCCCTCTACCTGCTCAAGGCCTTCCAGTCGGGCTCCGACGAGCTCGCCGCGCCCTCGGCCAACCTCATCCCCCCCGTCTACATCCACCCGAGCGCGCACATCGACCCGACAGCAAAGCTAGGCCCCAACGTATCCATCGGCCCTCGCGTGACAGTCGGCGCAGGCGTGCGCATTAAGGAATCTATCGTGCTCGAGGACAGCGAGATCAAGCACGACGCGTGCGTCATGTACACGATCATTGGGTGGCACAGCAAGGTGGGCGCGTGGGCGCGCGTCGAGGGCACCGCGCTGCCCGTCACCAACCACAGCACCAGCATCATGAAGAACGGCGTCAAGGTCCAGAGCATCACTATCCTGGGCAAGGACTGTGTTGTTGGCGATGAGGTGAGGGTCCAGAATTGTGTGTGTTTGCCGTATAAGGAGTTGAAGCGTGATGTGGCGAATGAGGTTATTATGTAGAGTAGAGTAGAAAAGAGTAGAGTGGAGTTAAATCCACACAACCTCACAAATTCATCTGTTGTTGAGTGGGTTGATGGCTTGGGTGGGCTAGTGACTGGGGTCTTATGTTCTTGAGTGTTCTAATAACTTGAATGGGCAGCTGGTGTCGGTGCTTTGCGTGCGGCTGTCGATACAAGCTAGGCAATTCAAAAGAAGTCATCTTCTTGAGCGGCAATATGACAGCAAGGTATCGGATGGAAACTTGGCTGTCTTGCTCGTTCTATTCGAATGCTCTGCCTATCTCGTGTTGCGGAGAACGCTGGTGTTGTGACAAGGGAGCAAGAAGATTTAACAGAAGCGCGAGTAGTGCTGCGACAGCTGGAAATATCAGAACACATAGTTGTGGTCTACAGAAGCCCTGTTCACGTACAGGTCCTATGAAACCTATTGAAAAGACCTCTTATCTCTAAGGCCCGTATCTGGTAATAATCATGCATTGTACGCATTAGAGCGTTCTCGCACCTTTATGAGCTCTTCTAGTTCTGTAGGTAGGTGTCGCAGCAGATATCATGCCTATTTACCAGCCAATTCAGGGGTGCAAATGTATGTACATTTTGTCTCTATTTTGGCTGCAACAGTAGGGTATATCAAGACCGTACGTATTTAAAATGACATGGTCGGAGCTGGGCACAGAGAACTAAAGCTATATTGCCCATTAAAAAAAATGCAGGGAGTTTCCTACACTGCCCTCTGTTGCTTGAATTACACGCCTTGTGCAAGCAGCAAGTACACTTGATATGTATCACTACGGGTATGTATGAACGCCGGTCTTGGTGGAATGTGACACATGCTCTTCCTAAAGTAAATGGATATCTTGATCTTCAATATCCCAGTCCATCCAAGTCTTGCTGTTCTCATCACCAAAGGTAGCATGAAACCGTAGTCGTCCTTCTTCGGAAATATCATAATCATCCCCGAGAACAAAAGAGGTACCTACTAAACGATACGAATTCTCATTGGCAGCTGCTCGAAGTAGGCATGGCCTGGAACATCCGAAGACGATAGCACACAGATCTCCCTCGAGAGTAATGTGAGGAGCATAACCTAGATAGCCGCGTTGGGTGACAATGAGTCTCCGACGATTCAGAGATGCTGCGACCATGAGAAGGACTGAGCTTGCACCAAACTCACGGAGATCCAGAGAGTCCCATGTAATTGTGTCATTACCATCCATGTGAGATGACATACTGTGAAAAAGATCCAAGCAGCGTCGCCGTTGCTTCATATGAGTTTCCAGGTCCCCGTAGAAACCGCCTCCCGATGTCAACGCATCGAAGAAAGCCGCGAGGAGTCGCTCGCGATACGGACTTTCTGACGATGCCAAAGCACGTACTTGGATCCAGACTCGAAAAATATATCCCAGTGTCAAGGTATTTTTGGTCCACACGTCCGAAGAGAAGCACACTTTGTCAAATACTACACCTTGCACCCGAAAGACATGGTTCTCCAAAATCGCGGGGCTAGAAACTTGGCCCGTTCGTGAGAGAAGAGGTGGATCTTGCGAGGGTGAAAAAATGATCGTCGTGTCCGCCAGTCCATCATCCCATCTAGGCACCCATGTCGTCGAGCCTGTCTCGATCATCACTTCACCATGCTGGACATAGTGCAGTATCTTCAAGTCCTTAGTGGCAAGTATGTATGCGGTAGCGAAGTCGTAATAGATTTTGAAGGGCGTGTCGGTATAGTTTGGAATAATCTCAAAGCCGTCTTTATGTCCGGGGGCGATGTCCAGGAAAGCATAGATCCTATCGCGTGGATCTTTCAGATGTAAGAAGCGCGAAAAGTCCATGTAATCTAACAGAGAGCACTCGAACCAGGACGATCTCGCATAGAAAACACAAATAAGCTCCTGATGCCGCGCCTCGTACGCTTCGCGATGGGGTTGCAATCTGTCTTCATGCGCCACTGAAATACCTCCCAGCGCTCTTCCGTGTATCCAACTGATCATGCACATCAGATCATTCCACGAAAGCGTAGTGTCTCCACAGAGTACCAGCGCCTGTCGTGCAAGACCTGCTTCACGGACGACCCACGCACGCTGAAACCATTCTCGACTCAGGAGCGCATCTAGCAGAGGCCACCTGGAATCGGATCGGATTGGATCGTCATTGTCAAAGTACGGAAATATGTCATCATGATGTGGCCCTAGGCGCTGATCCACAGCCGATCGATAATCGATATCGCTTCGAGGAACCGGACTGGCATCGTCTCTAGCATTGAGTTCAGGGCCGCGTGAAAGCACAAGAGCTGAATCAGAGTCACACTCCAGACCAGACATAGATGAAGAATCGGGCTCAGGCTCGCTGTCTGTGCTGTACAACTTGTGATAGAGCGTCTTATAGATCATCTGGTTCACGTCTTCCAGGAGGGCTCGTAGTCCGGGACCAAATTCGCAACCAACAGACCCAACGCATATGAGCACACACGTTGCTGACCGGTATACCTGTCCCATATTTTTCACTTGATGGCCCTTCTCTTCCAGATCCTTCTGATTGATACAGACTGAGTCGGCCCAAAGCCTCCGTGGGCTGTCGGCCAATCTCACTTGCCGTAGGGCGTCTTTCAGGTTCGACGTGGTTTTGAGTAGCATGCCATCGCATTCGATGTCGTCAGGTTGCTCTTCAGAGCCCCACACGTAGGAGATGGCCTCGTAGTCAGCCTTGTCGATTCTTGAAGTATGCAGCGTGCACACCAGAGGGTCGTTGCCGACGCCAGAATTGAGGGTAAGATATCGGAAGGCATCCTGTGGTAGCTCACCGTATTCGTATGAAGGTAAGGATGAAGCCATAATTGCAGAGTGTGCTGTGATGGTTCGAAGCGAGTGACATCAGGAGGCGGGTGAGACAATTAACCCCTCCTCTACGTCTTGCCTGAGCAATGAAACGAGACGAATCGACGTTGCCTTGCTTAACATTACTCCTCTTTACTCAGTAGCCTATGAAGCCTGATTACACGCCTGTTGCTAAGTCATCAACCTTCAGCCTAGCCTAGTTGGCTCATCTCCTAATCGCTCTAACTTCTTAATCATCACTTTGCATGCAAACTATGAGATCTGATTACACGCCTATGCAAGGCAACCCCCCTTCAGCCTAGCCTAGTTTGCTCGCTTACCTATGTTCTCTAATTTCTTCTAAGATTCTTACCACATAAAAAGTGGTCTTTGCCATATTCGAGCTACAGGCAGCTACTCAAGTAGCAACGACCCTTCCTCGTGACGTTGAGTCCTGTAATCTTCCCCAAGTGCGCTGGTGAAAATCGACATATCCAAAGACTGCTAGACAGATAGATACGCATATGCCACTCCATTGCAAGCGCAACGCCGAGCCTTGCGCACTACCCACCATCGCACCTACAGAACAGAGAATCAAACCACAAGGGAATAAACTAGAACGACAGCACAATACGCATGATTGACGCCGACCAGAACCACCTGCAGCGCACAGCTTACAAGTAAGGATACAAAGAATATTCTCTTCCATCTCCTCGCCAGTCATTTTGCAGTGAAACATCTTGGACTAGCTAGTCAACAAGAATCCTGCAAACCACACTAAAAGAACAATCCGAACCCGACAGTTACTTAACAATACCGTTTGAAGCCATAAGACTCAATACTCAATCCCTCGTCAACACGCAAACACCGAGAAATAATAGAAACAGCCTCACAGTCCCCCAACCTAATGCGCACTCATCCGCTCCATTACCCTCTCCCTGCTCCACCCCTTCGCCCCCTCGCTCACACCCCTCTCTCCATGAGCCTCCCCGTGCGCCCCAACCTCCCGAACATCAAACTCCTTAAACCTTCCCCCATAATCCCTCCAGCGCATCTGAAACGCAATAACGACCACAGGCAACACGCTAACAAGCTCTCCCAGCCCCGCCCACTGCGGCGGAATCTTGACCTCTCTGCCACCGCGCTTGATGCCCGCAAATGCACCCGCAGCAAGCAGCACAGCGGCGAGGTTGTAAATCGCACTCCACACAAAGTTCGCGATGATGCGTCTGTACGCGCCGCGCGAGATGTCGAGGAGGATGAGTACATCGGCAAGGCGCTCGGTCATGAGGACCACGTCGGCAGCTTGCTTGGCGACATCTGAGGAGGAGTGGGGGGAGTGCATGTGCACGCCGACATCTGCCTGTTTGAGCGCAACGGCGTCGTTTGTGCCGTCGCCGATGAAGAGGACGGTTCTGTTTCTGTTCCTCCACTGCGTTTCTTGGAGGTCCTGGATGTACTTTTGTTTTCCCTCTGGTTTGCAGCGGCTCTTTGTGTAGCGCTTGGGTATGTTTAGGTCGTGTGCGACGGCGTCGACTGAGCCTTGCGAGTCGCCGCTGATCATGTGAACGGTGATGTGGCGCTTTTGCAGGGCTTCGATGACTCTGCCGGCGTTGTGCTTGTGGGTGTCGCGGAGTTTGAAGACGGCAGAGAGCTCGCCTTGGACAGTGACGCAGAGGTAGCTGTAGTTGGCATCTTCGATGTGGTGCTCAAGCCAGTCGGGGCTGCCGGCGCAAACTTCCCACTTTTCGGCCCGTGTGAGACCAACGATGCCGCAGCCGGGCGTGCTGAAGACGCTGTACACCTCAGCGGGCTTGAGTTCTGCCTCATCACTGACACGATTCTCCTTGGTGAGGAAGTGGTAGACTCCTAACGATACAGGGTGTTTGTTGTCTCGTAAAAGACCTAGGAGGATTCGCTTGATGAGCTCTGGTTCCTTGGCGCCGTGATACTCTGCGCTCATGACTGAAAAGAAACCTGTTGTGAGTGTGCCAGTCTTATCGAAGATGACATCGGTCACGCCACGTGCAACTTCGAGCTTTTGTGGGTCTCTGAAGATGATGCCATACCGTGCTGCGACACCGCCAGCGATAAGGACTACCATCGGTACAGCAAGGCCAATAGCGCAAGGGCAGGAGACGATCAATGTCGCGATGGCGTACGTGATAGCTCTGACGACGACGTCAGACCAGCCGCGCTTGTTGTAGAATCGGCCGACGAGAAGCCATATCAGAAAGACAAGAGATCCGATGGCTGCAATGACAGGCACAAACCATCCAGCAATGCGATCGGCTAGAGCTTGTATCTTTGGTTGCGTCAACTCTGCGTCTTCTACCATCGCCGCGATCTTGTGGACCGTGTTCTCGTGCGGGAGCGATTTAAGTGTAACAAGGAGCATCCCGTTACCGTTCATGGTACCGGCATAGACTTCGGATTGTACACTTTTTGCGACTGGCATTGATTCGCCCGTGAGCATGGACTCATCGACTTCTGATCCGCCGTAGTATACGGAACCATCGGTGACAATACGCGTGTGCGGAGGTACCTTGAAGCTGTCCCCGTACTGCAACAGGCGGGCATCGATCTCTTGAGTCGGAGGATCGGGCTGTCTTTCGTGGGACTTTTGGATTAGAAGCGCTTTGTCGATTTGCAAAGATCGAAAGGAAACCGCTTTTGCTGCTCGGTAACGGGCAAACTCGTTGATGACTCGGCCAAAGAGGATCAGTGTCACCAGCAAGGTGGATGTTTCGAAGAAAGATTCGGTATCCAAAGGCTTGCCGATGAGTCGAAATGCATGAAGCACAACGCTGAAAACGTATGCAGTTGTGGTACTGAACGTGATGAGGAGGTCCATGTCAAGCATTCGAGAATACCACAGCGATCTGACCGCACTTGGCAGGAACTCGATCCAAGCAATTACCTGGACCACGGAAGCCAGTGCGACCGAGGCATGGGCGTATGCAAGATTCTCATGATTCACAGGCGCCCACGCAAACACCAAAACAGGAACTGTGAGGATGAGTGCAGGAAGTAGCCAGAGTAATGCTCGCCTCGATTGCTTTGCGCCAAGCTGGAGGCTCGAATGTGTCGGTGGTGGTGCAAGCGTCATGTCTTCGTACCCGGATCTATAGAACTCAAACACCTCGCGAGCGCCAATTTTTGTTGCATCGTAGTGAACACGCATTTTCAGAGACTGTCGGATCGTCATTACACCTTTGTCGACAACTTGGTCGGGGGTTGCCTTGTCAGAAAGCTCGACAGTCGCATTTCCGTGCGCCGAACAATCTATCCTTCTATGGCGAGTGGGAGTCCATATTTGTATGCGAGGCTCGGGACGCTCGACTGAGGTGATGCCGGTTGGTAAATCTTTGCGATCGAAGGCACGAGCTTCAGGATGAACAAGCTCCAAAACTTGATCGCTCGGCCCGGTGTTCTGTTCGAAGGTATAACCGGTCGCCGTATTCAGCTTTTGGAGTACAATGTCGATCGTGACTTGGTTGATGTCCAGATCTATCTCCAGTCGGGCCAGGACCACGTTGACCTGGTGATCGCGAATGGCAGAGATACGACTGACAGCCCTCGCTATGCCCGTCTCGCAGCAGCCGCACTTCAATCCGTCGATATTGAGCACAAATCGCTGGTAGTCCGGGGGACCCTTTTCGAGGTCCAAGTTGCTGATATCGTCACTGGTTTCGCTCTTGTCTGCTGCTTCCTTTAGCACAGCTTCAGTATCAAAGTGAGAGGCCCCTGAGCAACAAGTACCCTCCGAGTTTGAATGCGTATGTGAATGCTTAGTCGTGTGGCAATGTGTATGCGAGTGCCGCTGACGCTGGGAGGGCACCCGTCGAAACGGACTGGTGATCCAGGACAGGGTCGTCCCGTGTTGTGTATGTTTGGATGTACACATCTTCTTGGAGGTGCCTGAGACCCAAGATTGCGGATCAGGGACAGGGTATCGGTTATGCAATGAAGACGGAATGCCGGTTGGGCAATTTGCGCTTTGGGGGAGCATCCCCTGGCTAATAGGCGGTGGAGGGCTTAAAGGAGGAGAGTAGTCCCAGCCTGGCTGGTGAAGATGCGGATCTGGCGAAGGCGTTCGTTCAACAATAACATCACGGCCGACACCGAAGAAGCGTCCCATGGCCGGATATTGGACCTGCAGCTGGCTCGAAGTATCAATAATAGATGGAGTAGCGATACCCGACGGAGAGTTGGAAGTAAGTAGGCCCTGGAACGGTGAGCTCTGTAGCGTGATTTAAGCTCGTCGTGTCGCAGTCATTATGGCAGGAGGTCGCCATGATGTTATGTGGAAGTCGCTCCTAGCCTGCTGGCAGTTGCGCAGGCGGCCGTTCGCATCCCCACGGCTTGCAACCTACCATGATGGACAGTGCCGTGAAGTGTAACATGGTGTGTAATCACGATTCTTGAGTCGTAGGTCGAGAATGCTTTTGTCCTACCAGTGGGGAACTGTACAATCGATGGATGGAAGGGCCGCCAGTGGCAGCTGCATGTTTCCTTCCGCGAGAGACATGTACGACGGAGCGTGACGGCTGTGCGCAGTCCGGTTTCGGCTTTACATACTGATAGGAGATAATGCTCGACACACCATGCCTTCGTCCACGGTAATGAAGAAGCTGTAGACTAGTGTAGGAGCTAGTCTACGACAATTAGTGTCGTGGTGACAGTGGTCTTGGCGCAGGCGCCAGCAACCATGATTGCAACATAGTCCCTATGCTCACCATGACTCAGGGCAGCCCATTACGCTGCGCAGATAGCTGAGATATGTAAGAGGCGCTCGTGGAGATGCATAAGGGCAAAGTGGATGTGAGGTAACGGCTGACAGCGGCCCCACAGAAACATGGCACGTGAGTTCGCGATTTGGTTGCGTCATCGTCTGACTGTCTGCAAAGGCAGCCGTCGCAACCTCGACTTGTACACAGCTCTAATATGAAACATTTGATCCATACTCTTTGCGAGACTGATTGCCCACATATGCCATGCGCACCTTGTCTGCTCTTGCCCTAGCCTCCAGCACATGTCATCTGCGCTGAACCACCATCCCCGCGTTTTGCTCTTGTTCGACGGCCGCTAGGAACCATGGCAGGCACGCGAGGCCGCTCGCGGAGGACAAGTGACGCCCCGACACCTCGACGGTCACTGCGCAAGCGACACACGCAGGATGAAGAGCGAGATGACCTGCCTGATGTTGTGCGGGAGATGCTGCACGAGGAGCGCACAGCGAAGAGAGCCGCCGCCGGCGAGGACAAGAAGCCGCTGAAGAAGCGCAAGACTGCGCATGCACAGCGTTCTTCAAGCCCAGCTCCAGAAATTCAGCCCTTGAAGCCTGTAGCCAAGCCTGCGACTGCGCGCCACTCCAAACCCGCATCGCAAACATTGCCGCCTTCGCTCCTGCCATACGAGCTGCCGACAAGCATTGCGCCGCCGCCACAGCCGAGTCGCGTGCGGCAGACGATCGAGGATTCGGACGAATCAGACGATGATAGCGATATGGAGTGGGAGGATGCACTGGGCGATGGCGGGGACAGCGGGTCTGAGAGCGAGGCGAAGGCACCGCCGCAGATTGGCGATGTTTCCATCACAATAGGCGGGAAGAAAAGTGAGGAGGTCTCGACGAAGAAGAAAGTGCGGCGACGCGCCATCACTTCAGTCGACAGGAAAAGACGACTGGATATACACAAGATGCACGTTCTGTGTCTGCTGTATCATGTCCATCGTAGGAATGCCTGGTGCAACGACGCAAGAGTACAGTCTGCATTGCGCAAGCTGGTGGAGCCAAAGGTGTTGACAAATCTCGTACCAATCCCGGACCTCACACAGTACTCGGCTTCGAAACGTTTCGTGGACGCGCTGAATGAGCTCAAGATCATGTGGGCGAAACGGTTCAAAGCCACTGCGCAAGGTATGTCAAAGCCGAAGTGGGCAGAGCCGGGTGCAGAGGTGCGTCCCTTCTCTGACTTCGATGAGCTCGACAATCCCATGGACAAGAACGACTTCCGCACAGCGGCACGCACACTGCAAGGCTCGTCTGATGTTGGTGGCCAGCTGTTCTGTGCTCTCCTGCGTGGCATCGGGATCGAGACTCGACTCGTGTGCTCGTTACAGGAGCTACCATTTGCGTCCGCAGCGCAGCCATCGACCCCACAAAAGCCAGCTAAGACCACAAAAACAATCACTGTAGACCCATACAACAAAATTCCGGCGAAGAGCTCAGCACTTGCACGTAATAAGAAGCTCTCTCGCCTCGAGCGCATCATGGGTGAACGCCATCCTGTATTAAACAAAGCTGGCACTGGACCAAAGAGGCTCAAATCGTTTCAGGCTCCCTATCCTGTATACTGGGTCGAAGTATTCAACTCAGCTCACCAGAAATGGGTTCCCATCGACCCACTCTCGACTTTCACGATCAATGCCCCAGAAAAGCTCGAACCACCGTTCAGCTATACACAAAACAGCCTGACCTATGTCATAGCCTTTGAAGCCGACTACACAGCGCACGATGTAACGCGCCGCTACGCCAAAGCCTACAATGCCAAAACGCTCAAATTCCGCGTTGAGACCACGTCCCGAGGTGCCCAGTGGTGGACACGTACGCTCCGATACTACACGCGGCCCTCGCCTCTCCCGCGCGACACTTCCGAGGAAGCGACTCTCGCGCGCAAAGTCGCCGCTGAAGGAATACCCAAGAACGTCCAGGACTTCAAGAGTCATCCCGTCTACGTCCTCGAGCGGCATCTCAAGCATAGCGAAGTCATCCACCCACTCGAAATCGTTGGCAAAGTAAACGTCGGCAGCGCCATGAACCCACGAATGGAGCCCATCTACCGGCGCAGGAATGTCCATACTGTACGCTCGGCAGACAAATGGTACCGACTCGGACGCGACGTGCTGCCAGGCGAACAGGCTCTCAAGCACGCGAAACCCAAAAAGAACCGCCTGCCCTCTATTGGCCCCGATGAGCGGCTTGAAGATGTAGAACCAGGCGAACAAGTCGGCGCGGCGCTGTACGCAGAGTTTCAGACAGAGATATACATTCCACCTCCTGTGGTGCGCGGCAGGGTACCGAGGAATGCGTATGGAAATCTCGATCTGTACGTCCCTTCCATGGTGCCGCCGGGGGGCGTGCACGTGCGGCACAAACTCGCCTCGAAAGCTGCACGTCTACTACAGATCGACTATGCAGACGCAGTGACAGGATTCAATTTCAAAGGCCGGCACGGTACGGCGGTGGTACAGGGCTGCGTCATCTCCGCCGAGTATGCAGACGCTGTCGAGCAGACCATCGAAGGATTCGAGTACTTGCAGATCCAAGCCCAGCTGGATGCGCATACGGCCGAGTCTTTGAGACTGTGGCGGAGGTTCTATCTCGGTTTGCGCATTGCGCAGCGCGTGAATGCCATTGAGATCGATGGCCAACGGGGTGATGTGGTCGATGTGCAGAAGAGTATCGACTACGAGGAGCAGCGCAGACGAGCTGATGAAATGGCTGGTGGTTTTCTGCCCGAGGATGCTGCGTTTGTCGAGCCGAGCCGGCCGCCCAAGCCAGACATTGACTTTGGCGGTGGATTCGTGCCGGATGACGAGGGCTTTAATGAAGAAGAAGCCAACGGCGAAGAACGTCAAGGGGTTAGAGATGCAGATACGGGCGGTGGTTTTCTCCCGATCAACGACCGACAGGACAGCGATTTCGAGCTCGGTGGACCGAGTCTGAATCGTGAGGAGTCCTTCGGCAGCGTCATCCTCGAGTCTCAAGAGCTACGTCCCCGTCGACGCTCCTCGTTCGGTGAAGCCTACATCTCCTCTGGCTCTTCCCCGCATAGAAATGGCCTAGATGATAGCGAAGACGAGGAGAGCGAGTGGGAAGACCCCGCCGGCTTCGAGAAACTAGAAGGCAATGTCGAGCTCCCTGAGCACGCTGTTGCACAGCCAGACAATGCATACGCCGGAGAAGATACAGGGGGTGATTCTCTGCTCCCACCCACATTCACAGATACCGACAGCGCCATGCATGATGCATTTGCGCCGGAGGAGGAGCAGCTCAGAAGGATTGCGGAGGATGATGGCGTGCCGGATGTTCAGGTCGTGCATCCGGAGGTCAAGATTGTACCTACCGACGAGGACCCACCGCCGATCAGTCCGCTGAAGAGCGATATAAGCGACTCAGGGAGTTTACTGCTGGAAGATCCGGATGATGAGGATGCGGAGCCGGATTGGTTGGTCGATGCTACATGAGAGGTAGTTCAACCTGTAAATGCAATATATACAAAACAATACGCTCCCTCCCGAGATGGCAACTACTGCTGATCACTAGCACCAGCAGCAGCAAGCGGATACCCTGACACTGTCAAAAGCCCTGTCGAGTATGACCTGTGTCAAGGTGGTACCCTACTTGGATTTGTGATCGTTTCAGGTCATGGCTCGCCAACGTTGAGATGAAGGTCCAGTTGAGACCACCACAATTGAAAGCCTGGAAGATCTGGCGAGCCTAGCCACGACGGTAATGTATTCCTGGATGATCAAGCACCAAAGAGACAGGTGCAATCGTTCAGGCAAGCTACGACTTTCTGAAATTACCTATTCTGGCACCAAGATGCGGGGAGCTACAACATTTCACGACCTAGCATGAGCCACAGGCAGCGAGTATAAAGACAGTGCAGACGATGCCAAAATTGTAAATCTTCAAACGGCACTCAGCCTCTGATTGCAGAATGTGTTACCTTGCAGCTCTCGCTGCCTTCTCTGGGGCCGTTCAGGGATTCTGTCCATCCTAGCGCATGGAGTACAATATCGTTCAGCGCGCAGTTCAGCACGAGACTACGAGGGCCAAAAGACTAGTGCCACGCTCAAACATCAAAGTCAACGTCTTCCTACACAACGTCGCTCCCGGACCGACCTGGGACGAGGGCTACGTCTCTGTAAGCATTATCCTGTAGCATAAACACACATCTATGCCAACTTTTGTGTAGGAATCCCTGCCGCAAGATCAATTCAACATCATCCCCAAGAGATTCCTCCTGTACAGAATCACAATGTCCCTCAGCGACATCAACCACACCATCAACCCACTCTGGGCCAACAACACAGTCTTCTCGCAGTCCAAAGCCGACATGGAAAAACGTACTGCACCACAGCATCTACACTGAAATCAACATCTACATCGTCAACAGTCTCTTCTACCCAGACCGCATCAACGACACCGAGACGAGCATCAATCTCAGCGCCAACCTTGACATTCAGCTCTACGAATTCAAGGGCCTCGCGCACTTCCCTGTGTCAGGTATAAGGTTCTAATCAGACCCCATCACCAATGCCGTGGTGCTGAGCCACAGCGCCGTCTGGGGCTCCAACGTAACGGGCAGGGATCTCGAACTGACGGCTGTGCACGAGATCAGGCACTGGTTCGGGATCAATCACACGTTTTTGAGTGGCTGTGTGGGACTCAGCGACGGTATTGTGGATACACCCGTCGAGGATGTAGCGAATTTGACGAGTTGGGGCTGTGCGGCGAGGGATACGTGTCCGGACCAGCTGGGGCTGGATCCGGTGCGTAATTATATGGGGTATACTTATGAGTGAGTTGTTCTGTGCCTTGCGTGGTGAGTGTTCGCTAATCTGGTGGTAGTGCTTGTAAGACTGAGTTCTCGCCTGGACAGGTGGAGAGGATGCGTGCGATCTTTGAGATCTTGAGGATGCCGAAGGTGCCTTGAGATGGACTTGTCTTAGGCTGGTGATGCCCTAAGACGAGACTGGTGGCACATCTCGGAGACGCGGATTCGCAATAGACTTCAAAAAGTTTCGCAGTATCCGTGGGAGAGTCTCCTCGTTAGCGGTTCCCATCAGCTATTAGGTCTTTTTGCAATTGGAAGATTCTTCATGCCACACTCCGCGCAGCTTAATTTAAATCCTCAGTAATTCTCTCTCTTTAAATGTTTTCCAGCTCTTCTTTGCTTAGACATCGGTTGTGTTCGTCCTGAGTGCTCAATAGGTCGTAGCTGTAAAGTGTTAGATTGAACATCTGTTTCTCCACTTGGGTCTCCCAAGTCCTTAGATGTCTAAAATGAGTGCCAAAATATACTGTCTCTACATCGCAGCAAGCTGCCATACTATATTGAATTGTGCTAATAGGGCGCTTAACGTTAGCTGCATAGAGCCCTGTCTCTTCACATAGTCTACGCACTGCGTGTATAGTAGGTAACTTATCACCTACTACATAGCCTCTGCAAGAAATATGAGGTATGTAAATAACTAGCCATGTTAGTAACAACGTGAGCCTTATAGCTAGCGTTTCAGATTATGGAAGAAGACTGTATTTAGTACAACATACTACATGGTAGAGCTAGACAATGTCTCTCAACCCCTTCCACTTGATCGTGGAGGGCGCTTACTTGCTGTAAGCCCTCTTCTTAAACTCATTCAGATACTGCTGGTGTTGTAGCTTCCTGCTCTTCTCTGTATCTGTCCTCTTTGGCATTATTTCAATTTTCTGCTGCACTTCAAGCACTATGTCGCGCATCTAGATCTGAGTGTCTTTGCTGCGATCTTCGATGTAATTATGCGCACAAGTTTCGAAGGCGCGGCCCATCGGAACGCAGCTTATCTGAGGTTAATGCCATTTGCGCAGTTTGCAGCGCGGCTACCGACTTCAGTCGTGTATTTCTGGAGCTGTTTTTGCGCGCGTTCGATAAATGGAATTAAATGATTGTCGTTCATCGTGGAAATAATGCTGCCAATTGTACGAAGTGCATAGATCTTGTCTTTGATATTTTCAAGACTCTCGCCGTGGTTGAAGCCAAACAGACTTGAGGCACCTTGCTTGGGTATTAAGATTCTAGCCTTCTCGAAGTTGAGCTTAACCAAAGTGCCGAAAACCTCCAACGTATTCGGGTTTCCATACGGTCAATCCAGCACTTGAGACATCAGGTCATTTGCAGTGGCTGATTCGCTGCTTGTGTATTAGTATCTGTTGCAGTGCAAGTCGGTCCAACAGGCCTCGATCGTCACCTCTGTTGACTACCTTGGACTAGTACGTCTTAGGGCATGTATATATGGTCGACTCCTAGCTAGCAAGCAACTCAGCGCAGTTTTCCATCGATATACAGCGGCTACGCTTGCCGCAACAGTATCGATAAATGAGGCCTCGAAATAAATGTCGCGCTCAGGGTTTTTGATCCAGGCAAGAGTGGCTCAGAAAGTCTTTCCATGAATTTAAGCTCCTAAATGTTTAGCCACACTCGGTAATTGAAGTCTCCATCAGCTGCACTTTGATGATGAGCAAGGAAGGTATGTGTGTCATCACGTTTTCTGGTCGCCGCTGAGTTTACACCCCCTGCAGCTGACGGAAAATCAAATATTCGAACTATGTTAAAAGTGCACTGGACGTGTTTTGCGTGGAACCTAGTTCCTTCACACAGTTCAATTACTGCGCACGCAAGAAGTCATGCGTTGTCTGCTAATCGATCTCTACCAGGTATTCCTATTGCAATCAGAAGGTGTTCAAAGCTGTGCAGCAAGAGAAGAGGACCTGCTTTTGCAGCAAGGACTCTATGCAGAATAATATCAGGAAAATCGAAGGTGTAATGGCAGAGCAATTGGATTGTTTATAAGCAAATTTAGATAACACATCTATTTTGCCGCCTGGCCCGCAGTTCAGGCCTTTACGACAAATATACTCCTTGAAATGACACCAAGATGGTCCTTCGGAGTACGTCAATGCACGGTGATGATCGTTTATCACCCACGAGTTGCTGGTGCCGACAATTCGATCTCGTCAGGGGAAATACAGCAACAGCAGCAATATCCTCGAGGCAGGCGAACATTTGAGAATGACTGAGATTCTAGGAAAGAAAGTATATACATTGAACAAGAGCACTGAATGGCTGCAACTACCACAGTCTGAAACGATTAAAGATGTTGAGAGCATTGAAGATCGACGGGGCCGCCGCCACTGGATTCCTCGCCTTGATCAGATCTGCAGCCTTCTCGGCAACCGCATACATAGTGGCTTGAAGATGCGTGGCCGGTACCAGTGGAATGATACTGCCATCAACGATGCTTAGCTGCTTGACACCATAAACTAGCAAGTTGCTACCAACGACACCACCATATGCTTCAGGCATCATTGAGCAAGTGCCAGACATGTGCGCAAAGCTTGCCTCGAGAGACTTGGTCTGTATCAGCGCATTGATGATCTCGTCGTCCGTCTCGCCAGTGCCGGGGACGATCTCAACGGGCTGGAATTTCTTTAGCTCCGGGCGTGCCCAGTGCTGACGCAGCCAGCGCACCATCTCAACCATGATCTGGCGATCGATGGGGTTCTGGAACGTATTCCATTGTACGATTGGTGCGCCGAATTTATTCGAAGGGTTGATTGTGATGGTGCCGCGCGACAACGGGCGCTGCAGCGCACCGATAGCGAGGCCAAACGCGACCATTGGGAACTCCGCGACTGCTGCATCGGCGCGGGAGTGAAGGTTCGCGATGATGTCACGTTGCTTCTTGAAGCCAGCGAGGAGCTTGGAGTCGTCGTACACTGATGGGAGGTAGGAGCGTGCGTTTTGGCTCTTGATGGACGAGACGATGGACTCGTACTTGTCGGTAACGGTCTGCAGGCTTAGGAACGCAAGACTGCTTCCGTGGGCTTGGGTGACAGGTCCGGTCCTATCCTTCTTGTACTGCGCCCATGCTGATGCATTGAACGATGGATCAAGGCCAGACAATGGATTAGGTGTGGCTAAGTTCTTAAGGTCGAACTGCATGTTGGTATTTGGATGGTCTTGCATGTTGGCACCTACGGCGGGCATGTCCTTTTTAACACGTACCCCTGCTGCGTTAAGGGCGTCCTTGGGCCCAAGGCCGCTTAGCTGGAGGAGCTGGGGGGTGAATACGGATCCAGCAGCCATGATGACCTCGCGGCTCGCATAGACTTGCTTGATAGACTTGTCCGAACGCGAGATGTATTGAACACCTTTGGCTTTGTATCCGGTAAGCAAGCCCTGGTCGAAGAGAATCTCATTCACAGTCTTTCCTTGTACAAGGATGAGATTGCTGCGGCTTTTTACAGGGTCGTAGTATCCGTTTCTAGCATCTGACCGAGTCTGTGTCGTCGGTCGCAGAGCGGTGGGGATCCAGTAGGCGCCGACAGCGTTGCCGGAAGCATGTTCTTTGGGCAGAGGCACACCCTGAGCTTTGTATGATGCCCAGATGGTGGTGATATCGGAGTATTCGAAATTGGGAAACGAGGCCTGGATAGGACCATTTGTGCCATAATATGATGCGTCAAACGTCATGCCCCATGCTTTGACGTTGGCACCAGTGGGTGGTGTGAATGTGGTGGACTTCTTGAAATAGGGCAGAAGGCTGTTCCACCCCCATCCGTTGTTTCCGAGTTGCTCCCAAGCATCATAGTCGGCAGCTGACGCGCGGTCAAACGCCATACCATTCACGACTGAACCACCGCCAACGACCTTGCCAACCCACACAGGTTTTGTCTGGCCGCCAATATTGACATTAGGAGCTGATGTTATGTCATACATCAGCCCCGTGTTCAAGCTGTTTGCATATGACGGTACTTGAGTAGAGACGTCATCACTAACATAACCGTTCTCGATTACTAGAACCGTCCCTGATCCTTGTCAGCACAATCTAAAATGGTGACCGTTCCGCCTACGTACGACCGCTATCTTCGCTCAGACGGTTCGCGACTGTGAGTCCTGTAAGACCGCCTCCTACGACGATGTAGTCGTAGGTTTTGTACGCGATGTCCGGCTCAGAGCCGGGCACTGACTGCTTGGGTGGACTCAGGATGTTCGGCAGCCAGCAGGTGAAGAGACAGATGCTGTTGAAGAGGGAACCCATGACGGTGGATTAGAGAATGAACGCCGATAGGATTCGCACAACAAAATGGCGGAAATGAATGTACCGCACGACTTGCCTGAGCTCACGCGCAGGCAGTCGAATGTTTGTAAGTGTTCAAAAAGAGATGAATTCAACAGCCTAGGCCTCGCAAGGCTGGGCTATCGATGTTCGGTGCTCGGCATTTCTCGACCATGGGTGAACAGGCGGAATCGAATTTGTCGAGCCATCTCCCTAGGGACAAGTGAACGTTTTGCGGGTCGGTTGCAAGCCTTCCTACCGATATCCACCTGGACGATCGTACCATAGACAGTTTACGTCGGTGATAGCCCTAGTAGGGGTGCCCCAGCTAGCGAGTGGCACTTGTGAAGTAAGTCGACACCTGTGATGTACCCTAATTCTCACCCTTTCAGCGGGTGTAACTCGCGACTTTGTAGCTAGTAGATTCTACTAGCAGAGTCTTTACAGCTAGTGGATTGTGCTTAGCAGTAAGGCAGATCTGGCATTGGTTTGGATGGTACAGCACCCGCGTCACCCCTAACTACCCTAGGTATAGGCTATCACCGGAGTAACTGAGATTCCACGGTGCTCGTAAGTTCGAAGCGAAGGATGGATGCAACGGCGTACCTATCTTTGTCCTGATCAGAGACGAACAAAGGCCTGCAGCTGTGTGATCTGGTGGTACAGCAGGCCTGAGGCCTCTAGTGGCTGTTCTGAGAACAGAATTAAGCGAGATCGACCCGCCGGCGATGTGCGCTAGCGGTTGGCGAGTGTAGCGAGGTTTAGTGTTTACTTAGTCTGTAGGAGGTGTGGCGGTCGAATTGCACAGGTGCATTGGCGCTCTTCATTATGGCGTGTTCACGCAGACGCACCGTCGATGACATACATATGTCAAAAGACAGGATACAATAATGACAGTTGACACTGTTACCTGTTTAGCTGGTTCGATGCTTACAGATCCACAGAATCTGCAAATCCGAATCAACGAACCTAGTTCGCTCCCGCACGATCTACCTAGTGTGCCGCTAGCATTAAGCGAGGGCTTTGACGTGTCTCGACAACATCATGTCGCTACCAAGACAACCACCTTCCTCTTACAACCTCTCGTCGTGCGGACTGCCCAGGTTTGGGGTGAATTCTCCGAGATAAACAGTGGTGTGCCGATACACGTCCTGGATCTGCTGTGATGCATGCGAAGATCAGAGGGCCACTGCCCGCTGGCAACTCTACCTCCCCACGGCAATACCGTAGCCATGATGGAAACGGACGAACCGAACCTAGGACGGGACTTCTCGATAGACTGCGGAGTAGCTCCTTGAAGCCATGCCATAGCTATTCGAACCCATCGTTGCTCGCATTTGGCGGCCTCGCCGGCGCCGCGATTAAAGGTTTGACTCTACCTTTCGGATTCCGGTTTGAGTTTCCCACCGAAACCTTACGAGTAAGCTTTGACTTATACATAGCGGGTCCTGGCTTTTTTGGCGCTTTGTCAACTTTTCCACGTGGCAACGTGCCTTTTCCCGGCTGCCAGAGACGGAGGACCAAAGATAGCAACAGTACGCGATCATGTGCAACAATCATGTCGATTCAGCTAGCAGTGTCCCTACCTGTAGAGGACTTTATGAAGAGATCGTACGCTACAGTACGCCTTGAAGCATGCGAGCCATGGCTTTCTGGACGAAATATCACTCGAACACGCAGCCTGCATGCTTCTGGTCTTTAGATATATGAGTAGGATACAGAGTCAAGAGCCGCTCGAATGAATCAAAAGTTCCGGCTGCCCCGTAGGATGAGGATTCTTTGTAGCGGTTTAGTCAGGGTCTTAGAAAGCTAACATAAAGTCCAGACGGTGGCGCTAGCTAGCAAACTTTAAATCCGCGAAAGTTTACCTTGACAGGCACCACACAGCTACCCCAAAGCTTCCATGATCAGCTAGAGTTTCTAGAGTATTGAATCCAGAAGCCTCGATAATGCGTCGTCCACGTCTGAGAACATGGTCCAGGCCATCATGATTGCAGATTCGGTACTACCGATGAGCGCAGACAAGTGTAGGCGGAGGTTCAGCATTTGGCAGCAGTTTCTACGATCCATCTGATAGGTTGCACGACTGCTGAAGAGGTCTTAATCCGTTTGGTGGGTCGATCGTTTCCAGCAGCCGATGCTTCTCACGCAAAACCACCCGCACCAAGGGCGCACCCTGCACGGCTGGATCATCGCCCAAGATCGGCTACACGTTACCGACGGGTTTTTGGCTCGGCCTATATGTGATATCATATCTAATAACTGCCCGTCTCGTCTTTCCACGGAGGAAAATTCTCTCAATGCAACCTCCCGTCTGAAATACACATCCTGTGCTGCAAATCTAACCACGTGGCGTGGTCTAAGCATCAGCAGCCTCGTCTTCTCTTCTATTTGGTCACTAGTCAAGCATCATGGTTGCAGTAGCCTCTGAAGGGCTGCCTCTGGATGACCGTTCCAAAGACCTCAAAATTCCAATCATCGCATTGATCGTACTCAGTTCGATATTTGTGGGCTTGCGCCTGTACATTAGCTGGAAGAACCGCAACTTCTTCCAGCTGACGGATCACTTTCTATGGACAGGTCATGTAAGTGTGCTAGTTGTTCTCCATTTGGCCTCATTTCTGACATGAAACCTAGCTGTTGGCAATTGTTGGCGCTGCCTTCGCCTATAAGACAGCTGAGGTCGGCGGCGGCAGACATGTATGGGATCCAATCCAGACTCCAGCCAACCTGGAGAAATATCTGAAATGGCTCTGGTTTGGCCAGCTTTTCAACCTTTATGGCATGGCCTTGATCAAGCTCAGCATTTGTGCCTACATTCTCATGCTTGACTTCTCGAGAGCCTATCGCATCGTCATCTGGCTATCAGTCGTCATACACGTCGCTTTGAACTTCGTTTTCCCTTCTGTCATCCTATTAGGCGAATGTCAGCCAATCTCCAAGCACTGGGATGTTGCCGGCACTCAGCCAGGTAGCTGCTGGGGCGACAAGCCCAGAGTTATCTCAGGTATGCATATATGACGGACACAAGTTCCAAAATCACATGACTAATTAGACTGCAGGCTACTCTGGTGCAGCAACAAACATCTTTACCGACATGATCTATACCGTGGCGCCTTTAGTATACATATCGCGTGTTCAACTACCCAATCGCACACTTTGGGGTGTACGCGCTGTCTTTCTGTTCGGTCTCATGTGAGTTCACCTCATCCTAGCCCAGTCGCTAGCTACATACTAACCCAATTTCAGCACGACTACTATATCAGCTCTGAAGCTCTATGAAATGAAGGCCCTCTACTCTTCGCCAGACCCTACATACACATCACTTGATCTATCGATCTTCGCGGTATCCGAGGTCTTTGTCGGCGCGTTCACCGCTTCCCTACCGCCTTTACGCAAAACCTTCGAAACACTTCTCCGCCGTATCCTCCCGGAGAGTATCCTTGGCTCGGCATCGCAAAGCAGGAAGAGCGCTGGCAAGGGTACAGACAACAGCTATGTCATGAAAGAGGTCGGAAACAGTTACGTGCTCGACGGTAACACCTCGGGGAATCAGTCGCGACCAAAGCATGATCTAGACAACGATAGTGAGCACAGTATACTGGACGCACAAAGCAGTCTGGAAGGGAAAGATGTTGTGGGAAACATAACGTGTACAACCGACATCAATGTATTAGGGGATGATCAAGGGAGCGTTAGGAGCCGAGGGCATGATTGGGTTTAAGCCATTTGCGTATTCGCGGATCTGGTCTCGTAATGATAACGATTGCATGACTACTGAACACTCTCTACTTCTCCACTGCAACTGGGTCAGAAATTTCATTTGCAGCACCCGTCTGTAGCCGTTCCGTGTGTAATAAATCGTTTCCCGGTGCTCGCTGTTCTTGAAGATATTCATGTGTGTCTGATGCATAGACTTGCCCGCCTTGTGAACAGCAGTCTTGTTAGGCATCTTGTTGATCTCTTGCTGCACTTAGTTTGTCATGTTCTGAAGCTGATCGTAAGCATCATCGCAACTGACATCGAGAAACTTCCTCACCCAGTTCTCAAACTCTGTTGCGCATTTGAAGCCGGCCCTGATCAGATTGAGATTTCCCGGTGCCACTCAGCTGTTAGCCTCCTTTAGATACGCTTCAAGCGATCTTCGACGAATGAACATGTCCTACCATGGCAGGATTAATCATGAAGTCGAAACTGGTGAGACACAACACGTAGGCGCAGCCTGTAGCACGGAAACGAATATAACAAGGATGCTGCTGCTGCTGCCGCTGCCTAAAAGTAAATTACAGTGAACTACATAGCCAAAAGGAACTAGATGGCATTATAACAACTGATGAATATTAGAAGTTAGAACATATAGTCGACAGCCAGAGGTGCATCGCCGGTCGATCTAACCGGGACCAATCAGCATCCCCCCTGACTGGATTGAAGTACATAGCTGTACACCCAAGCTCAAGGCAAGGCTCGCTTATTGCGTAGAATTGTAATTTCAGAAGCCACAAGATCTACCAGACGTCGCGTAGAGACGCGCTGTACTTCAAAGAGGAACTCGAGGTCAGCGAAAAGACCACTTGAAGATTAAAACTTTCAAACCCTTAGAAGCTGGGAAGGACAAGCGTTCTACGGTACCCTTCTGATCAGCCTTCCTGTGCATCCGTTGATATGACCTCCTGCGCAAGGTTCCCGCCATATCAAATACCAGAATGTTCCTCCAGCTAAGCGATTACGTACTGTTCTACATGTGCTTAACGACTGCGCACAAATACTCTCTTTAGAGTCAGACATCGTTGGAGATAGCGCATGCGTGCTGATGCGACTTCCCTTCCGTGTGCATCGAGAAGCTGGACGACTCGATGTAAGTTTCGAAATGCGGTGGAGAGCTGTGGGTCTACGCCTTGCGATTCACATTCGTTCTGGTGGTGAAGTTACGACCCATGTGAGTCACTGGAGTGTCGTGATTGGGCTGGGCAACTTTTTCCAGTGTCACCAAGGGCTACCTTGGCTTGCGTCATGTTATGAACATGGCCCCGTAGGTAAAAGTTTGTCCAGACCCACGAAAGTGGGAATAGACGAACAGGCTTTCGATCTGTTCCTGGTCGTTGTCGCTGTGTTGTTTATAAGTCGGCATTGCGGTGAACCAATACGTCCAAAGCTCCATCGCGGCAACCACGGACTCGAACGTCAACTCAACCAAATGTCGAGCCGACATTTGGTTGGCGGAGTGCTTTCGGTAAACAATCCCGCAGCGCACGGACCGGGACTAGATCAGCTGCCTTCACCCGGGATGACTTCCAATGCTACCGCCACCTCAGGCTGCCCTTGAATCGCTTACTCGAAGCCGCCTGCACCCTCTCGCTGTTTCGCGCCTCTCACATCCCATACCTGCATCTTGCTCTCTGCGCTCGTTGACCTTCCCTCAACGATGACTACTTGGAACATTCTTCACTAAAATAATCTCAGCAGGTTGGGGCGCCAAAGTTGTGCATCCAATCATTTCTGCAAGACAGTGCCATTAAGGCTCACACTTACTTGCACTAGAATACAACACACTCTCATCTGGATAAAACCACTTAGCCATGCAAAATAGACCGTTCGAGCGCAGCAGCTCTGAGCAGAGACAGAAGATAGCCATTCCACGGCTCGACCGTGGACCATACCCACAGCCAAAGTGGAGCAAAGGGAACCCGAGAGAGCGCACGTATGTCATCCGAATCAGGGCGGCCTTCTTCGGCGCTAACAAATTTTCTTTTTCCAGAGGCCGAGCTTGTACAACTTGCCGAAAACGAAGTCGGTATCGTCAAACCTTGCTGTACCGCTCAAGCTCATCTGAAAACAGAGATCAAATGTTCCGGCGACGTACCGAGCTGCAAAAGTTGTCACGCTGCCAAGTCGACCTGTGTGTACGAACAGTCTCGGCGCGATCGCTTGAGAGAGTAAGCTTGTTATCTTCTATCAGCGCTCTGTCATTTGTTGAGCGGTATGCAGAGCTACCGATTTGAACCATACACTGTCTTCGCTTCTCGATGACCTGAGCGATCGTGTTAGCGATGAGGACAAGCAGAAGATCATCGATGCCCTGAAAAATGTAGGTCCACCACCACACACTGTTATAATCCTTACATGAGATCGGAGAATAACCGAACAACTGTGTGGTCTTTAGGCCGAAGACGACATGTTTTCAAAGACCACTGACGTATCACTCACGCGGTTGGGTAATTGGAAACAACCTGCCGTTGGAGAAGATGAAGAAATCACGGAAGATGGCGAGCTACACGTCGGCGGTGCAACAGGATCTAACGAAGGCCTCGACTATCTGGACGAGGATCTGACCAAGACTCGTGAATCAAGGGACACTGGTTATGTTGGCCATAACTCCGAAGTTAGGTGGTTACGCAGTGCACAGCGCCAGACAGAACACACCGGACCTGAGCCCCGTGCCGCACCATACGGTCCGCCAGGCTCGAGCCAGAATGCTGTAAATGCCCGTTCTGATGCTCTCCATACGCGCAGAGACAATGCCAGACAGAGCTGCCGGCAGGGATCGATAAACCGCATCACGGAGTCGTCATTCTATTTAGACGGCTCCACCATCGACATCGACATTATCGTAGACCCATATGAAGTCCCGGACCCTGAAATTGGAGAGCAGTTGTTTGACTGCTATATGAAGACAATCCACTCTTCCTTTCCACTAGTAAGAGAAACGTTTTCGGACTGCGTATGGTATCAATGCTGACTTTGTACCTCTACCTTCTAGGTATCTGCAACCTTCCAGGACCAGTTCCACAAGTATATGGAATCCATCAGACACCAAAGAGCCTTTCGAGTGCCTGATAGATGGCGAGCTCATATGAACTTACTCTTTGCAATAGGGGCCAAGTATTCTCATCTCATTGGGGCAGCGTGGAGGGGGGATGAACGCGATCATCTGGTCTACATGACTAGGGCTGTACATCTGCTTGGCTTGAAGGATTTCTTTATGGCCATTTCAGGACCTGATCTGGAACTTGTGCAAGCGGTAAGGTGTTTACATCTTCTATCTCAATTAAGTTCTCGCATGGAGCTAACGCCCCACTTCACAGATTGGTACATTGTCCTTCTACTTCCTAGTCATAGGGCATGTAAGCAGGGCGTGGATTATGATAGGCATTTCGTTACGGCTCGCCCTTGCCCTCGGGCTGCACCTCCGGAACGAGGATTCTGCAGTAGACGAAACTAAGAAGGATGCACTTGTGCACTCTTGGTGGACTCTACACTCCATCGAGTGCTTACTGAGCAGTGTCACTGGGCGACCTCCTGCAGTGGCGGCAGAATACTGTACAGTGCCCCTGCCCCGCAGTTCACCAGGCATATATCAAGAGCCCAGTGGCGCTTCGACACCAGCACCACACAGAGGCACAGATAGTGATATGCCACAGGCTCCGCAAAGCGGTAGTAATCCAGAGTTTGGCACCCGCATCCCAAGTCTGGAATGTTACCGCAACAGCCGCATCAAGGTGTCGCTCATCGCACAGAAGGCCCTACTACATTTGTACTCGCCCCTAACCGCTTCCCAATCATGGAAAGTACGTCTTTAATATTCTCTCACGACCTCTTCAATATACCATTGGTGTTCTTTACCATTGACGCATCATTAGCACATACAAACGAAGATTTCGAATTCACTCAACGACCTTGAGGAATGGAGGGCAACAGCGCTGTCGAGAAATCTCACAGCAGCACCATCGAACCCTGGAACAAAGTCTGATCGCGAACAGTTTATCCTCGAAATCGAATACTGGAGCACGAAGATACTTATCACACGTCCATGTCTCTGCAGATTAGAGCGGCGTATTCGGCACCAGAGTGACGCCTCTGCGAATTTTGATGCAAAAGCAGCGGAAGCTTGTGTCAATGCTGCATCGAGAATATCGGAGCTATTACCTGATCAGCCGAACCTCGACTACATTTACTCTAATGGTCCCTGGTGGGTCGTTGTCCATATAAGTAAGTACCACTTCGACCCGGAGTAATTTATACACTGACAATTCGTGTCATAGTCATGCAGTCAACAGCTGTACTTCTGCTTGAGATGGCATACAAGACTGGAGACATGGAGAGCGATGCGGCTTCTGTAACACAATCTATTAGGAAGTTAATTTGCTGGTTAAAAGCTATGCAGGGCAACGATCTTGTTGCCGCTAGAGCGTATCAGATCGTTTGGAGGATCCTGAAAGCATGTGCCCCAATTCTTCAAGCCGAAGCCAACAAAATCCTCGCGTTGAATGGGGAGGACGGCTCACAGGCGAACTCTCTACAATACTCTCAAGTCGAACATGCCACGGCGTACTGGCAACAACCGGATTTCTTCCGGAATCCAATGGTGAGCAGTGGGACCTTCGACCCTAGCGCCTTCCGTCAACAACCTTTCAATCCGCTGTTTGAGTACCAATACGTCACTCATGGGCCGTCTTTTGCACACCAGGACTCGACACCGATGCCTTTTGGCAATCCATTCTTCACCAATTTCGACCAGATCGTGCCAGTCGATAATATACAGGACTTGTGGGCTGCTCAACCGGTTCCCAATCCCTTCGAACCACTTGTATCGATTCACAACTATACACAGAGCCAACAAGAAGTACCACATGATCAAGAGATGGATTCACCGTTCCAGCAATAACAAAGTTGACACCCGCGATCACTGCAGTAGGGTCAGATTTGGTCCCAGCTATGATTCTGCGGGCTCCCACGCAGTCCGTGCCATCTATACAATGATCGCATCGAACGCTCCCACAAACAGTATTACTTTCCATTCATACCGTAATTTCACAAAAGAGAACTTTATGTACCCAATTCAACATGGGTCTTTCAGACGTACACTGCGTTGTGTGCGGTGGGCCATTTTGCAGCCCGTACGAGGAGCGAATCAAAGGGCGTTACCTAGACGTCGGATTCGTGGACAGAATCCTGCTCAAGGAAATCAGGTCCACACGAAAATACCGTTCATATCTGTGGTGGCTTGATACGATACATCTTTTCACAATGCCGTCAGCGCTGCCGAATCTTGGTGCCAGCAACCTCGACTATGATAGCAACCACCCCAAAAGCGTCCTTTGACAATGTGCACTTTGGATACAGCGACGAGCCAATTTTCATCTCGACGGGCACGGCAGACGAGCCGCGCTTTGCCCCAATACCAACGACGACTACATGCCTGCTATGCATGGCGCATGCGCGACCATAGTTGAGAGGGTGTGTGCAATAAAGGCCACATTACCATCACTTCGTGCATACTATGAAGTAATCATCTCTGCCATACCACGTTACTATGACGAGGACGGCATTTACTGGCCTCACAAGTACCTCGGCGTCCTACAATACCAGGGATATAACAAATAGAACTACCATGAAGGATTCCGCAGGCTCGTTACGGAACCACTCGAAGCAGTCAAAACCACGACTTACGGTCTCGATAACCTTCATCCGGTATAAATACCGCGCCCAGCTCCCGCAGATGCAGCTAAACCAGTCCAATTGTCACGCGCCCTAGACAGTGCATCAGCCGCTCGCTCGACTAGACTGAGATCACCCCAAAAACCTCCGGCAGAGCTCATTGAGCAAATTAACGATCTCGTTGCCACCCGAACAGTCTTCGCCCTCCGTCTCGCTTCAAATACACTCACACATGGGCTTCCTCTGGATCAGCGCTTTTGTTGAAAGTAATTTGTGAGCAGTGGTCTATTGCCGCATCTTGGATACTCGAGCCAGGAACTTCTTAGTATATCTGTCAGCATTTGTCGGCTCAAACGAACAGAGAAGAGTCTTTCCGCGTAGATTCTAGCCTTGATCGGCCGGACTGGAAAGGTTTGGCTAGGCTCGTTGCTGACGCCAGTGAGATCGTGGACAAGAACTCCGAAGAGAGTGGAATACCGCTGGGTCTTTGGAATCGATGCAGGATCTAGAGAAGTGTCATTGAGACTGAGAAGCAAGTGGGACGAATAGGAGGTGTTAGGGGAGGGAGAGTGTTTTAAAGAAGCTGTCATGACACCAAGGATCGCGAACAAGTGCCTTCTGTAGAGATCGGGATCGGCGTCGACAATCGTCCGATGCTGCTAAAGTATACGTCAAAGGTGCGTAGTACGAGTCTACTTCGTGATAATCTTGCATCAGTGAAAAGTCACTGCTCGAGCAACGTTGATGCAGATCATCGGGAGGGTATCGATGATATTAGCTCATGCATCGCTATGGGTGCATCTACAACGCTCTTACAAACTAAAATGCCTGCTGTGCAGACGCGGCGGGCGCACTTTGTACATCTCTCGGCAGCGCCAGTGATCTACCACCTCTCGCGCCACCAGCACCACCTCGCCCACCACGATAATGCCCACCGCGACTCCGGCCGCGGTTGCTATTGACGGCGTTGTCCGCCTTTGGTACCGTTGGTGGGATGAAGGCAGGTGCCTGAGGATTGGGTGCTTGCACGCCAGCCGTTGGAGCCTCTACAGCCTGAGCCTTCTCAGCTCGAGGCTTTGGTGTCCTGTGCTTAGGCGCTGGCTTCTCTCTACGCTGTCCATCGGCCGCTTCGCCTGTCTTCTTTTCTCTCTTTCTCTCTTCTTTCGGCTTCTTATCTCTTTTACCCGCTTTATCGTTGACAGAATAGGCTTCTGTGCCAAAATCCATAGCTCCGCCACCGCGACCCTTGCCTCTTCCTTTTGCAGCAGCTCTAGCCGCGCGCTCAGCAGCCCGCTTGGCTTGTTCTTCCTCCTCGATGGCGCGCTTACTCTCTGCTTCCCACCACTGCTGAAACTCTTGCTCTTGCTGGATTTCCTCAAGACTGCGTTTCGCTGCTGCGTCGCGGATAGACGTCTTTTCGGCTTCTTGCAGTGACAGGATCTCCATAATGCTTAAATGTTGGCTTGGCGAGGTCGGCGAGTGAGATGACAGGGGGATGTGGCGGACCGACATGGGGACCGGAATGGGTGTGTTAGAAACAGACATGCCACGCTCAGAGGCAGCTGGTCGTGAGGGCAAAGGTGCTTCTTGGGCGCTGGCGTCTTTCTCTTTGCCCTTACCCCTCCCTTTACCCTTGGCGATAGTCTGGCGCATGGTGAGTTGTGGTGTGCTTATAGCTCGTGCTGGCTGGGCTGAAGGCTCGGACGAAGGCTGTTGTGGCGGAGATGTCGCTGCAGACGGTGCTAGGATTTGATTTGCGCTTGGTTTCCTGTATGATGCGGCTTGCCATGGTGATACAGCCGGCGGTGATGGCTGCGCAGCCTCGACCTTGAGTCCTTGCTGTTCGGCTTGTTGCAGTCGCTTGCGCTCCCTCTGCGACATCTTAGGTTGGGCGGCACGAGCACGCTCGCGTTCTTCTTGTGCGAGACCGAGTGCTAGACCAGAAGGTTTGTCACTCGACGTTTGAGCCATGATGTCCTTGAGGTCAAGCTTTGAGCTCGCTAAGGGGGCCGTGCCCCATGGCTGGCTTGGTGGTCTGATTCCTGACAGCGCGCTGGGAGGCAGCGAGCTAGGTGAGATGAAGCCGTCTTCGATGTTGCCTGGCGCTTTCTCCTTGATTGAGGTGGCCCATGGCGACTCAGGTGTGCCTACTGACTGATTACTGGGCTTTTCTGGCCCGCCAAGAAAACGAGGTGGCTTGATGTTGGCCACTGGTTCATCTTCTTTGTCCTCGCCGTCGGACATCTCAAACATCAGATCAGCAGCTGAAGTCTTGCTCTTCAGCTGCGGTGTCAATGCTGGACTCTTTGCCTCAAATTTCGCCTGACTAGATGCTCGCCTTCGATTGCGCTGGCGAAGTGGCGAGGCCGACAGCTCCTCCAAACTTTGCGCTCTGAAAGATGCTGATGGCGTGTCTGTACCGGCATACTTGTTGGAAAGAACGATGGCGTCGATCTTGGCGCGCTTGCCTCGCTCAATCCTCTCTGCAAGCTCAGGGCACTGTTCGAAGAGCAAAAGTTCTGCACGCCCGCTTCTTGCAAACGGTAGATAAGCCAGTTGGTTCTCACGCGCAACCTCATTCAGTTCGTGCAGAAGGTCGTCGTCGAGCTCGTCCAGAGATCTGATGAGTGAGTCAGTGTGTATCAAAGAAGAAGGCGTTGATTGCGTACCCGTTCTGCATGACTGCCTCCAAGCTGAGACAGACATACTCAAGCGCTGCGTCCTTGAACTCTGCGACAGAACTTGGTGCGACAGCGGTGAGCAACGAGCAGACATTGCGAGCATTCACTGTGAAATTTGGTAAGCATGCGCTAAGCAAACGTCTCAGGACCACATACCATAGCGACCGATGAGCTTCTGACAGATCTGCGAGAGGCGGTCGAGCATCAGCTCGTTCGCGACAGACATGACGTCCATGACGTGATCCAGGAGCTCATCCAGGGCAAGCAGATCATTGAGGTCCTCGCTTGTGACATCGTCGAAAATTTCCTCGCCAGCGTCTGCATACAAATGACGGACAACAAGCTTGAACAGAAGTGTGTCAACATTTGTCAGATCAATGTGGACTGGTGCTGAGCCATCTCGTCGTCCTGAAAGCCACTGACCACCAGCGCGACCTCTGAATAGACCCTCGAAGAATGGACATCTCTGGCAAACGAGGTCTGAGTGGAGCAGCAGTTCGCCATCGGCAAGGTCGATAATGACATCTCCACTTTCGAAAAACGAGGCTTCTTTAATCGCGACCTCGAGATCAACGTGTAGCGAACGTCGAGGATTGACCATCTGTCGTACAGCTGGTTCGAGTTGTCGCAGCTCCAATCGTGATGCTACCCTCAAGAGCTCTGTACGGACCGATCGGTAGCGGAACGCCAGTTCGGGCGCATGTCGTGTGACGTTCCAGAAGTCGACAACGGAATCTGTGTATGCGTATAGGACCAAGTCAAAGACGGTCAAGAAGTCCAAACCTTGAAACATAACAAGGGTAAGTTCGCCTTCCTTACTGATGGTCAGCAGCTCGGGGATGGCATGGCTGGAGCTCTTCAACCGGAAGTCGAGCATCGCATCTCGAAATACACGGGATCGACCAGATATAATGAATTCGTGTACTGGCAGGCGAACATCTGAAAGAGTGCTTCCAATGACCATGTTGTAGGTGTTCTCTGAAGTCATCGAAGCCTGTTCCAAGACCTCTGAAACCTCTTTTTCAAGATCTTTTGATTTCAAAACACGTTTCTGGAGCGCTTGAGACTGACCAGGGCGGTTCCAGTACCTAGGAACAGGCTCTTCATCATCTGACGACTCCTCGTAGTTGTGCATATCATAAAACGAGAGCAGTGGTGCCAGATCTTCCCAGAGCCCAGGCTCGTCCACTCCAATCTGGTTGCGTGTAACGTCACAATCCTTGCGTACCGCAGCGTATGCGCCATATGCAGAGGCACGAACAGCGACAACGCGAGTCAGGCCAGCAACACGCTGGAACTTGTAATCTTTAGGCTTCAGCTCGGCCGCAGCAGTAGTGTTCGCACTCTTGATTGTGGCTCGCCTTGTGCGCCTCCACACGGTACCAGCTTCCGTTGTCAGAATGATAGATCCATCTTGATCGACACCAACGTCCCTCGCAGCCATGTGGCTCTTCTTGGAAGACCAGATGCGATAGGGTGTCGATAAGGCCTTGCGGATCTGCTTTGGATGCGTTGTCGACATGCTTATATCCTGGCTACCGTCCGAGCGGCGACTCACCGCGACTGTGAACACCTCACCGGATGTCGATAAGGCACAAATTGTGTCACCACCTGATGTGATCTTCTGAATCCTGTTTGGTGCTGTGTCATACTTTGTTGTAAGCCAACTCTCCTTTAGGAAGTTACTGGTGAAGCCATCCAACGCAAAGTTGAGCTTCGAGTAGCCGTAGTTGGCAAAGACCCATACTTCCCGGTTCTCCAGCATACAGATCGAGGCGCCATCGATAGCAGATACCGCAGCAATGGGCGACGAGAAGAGTGATGCAGCAATCTTGCGAGGAGTGATCTGCATGTCCAACGATCGAGCGTCTGAGTCGACTATACCCAGCTGACCCTCGTTCTTCCCGAATGTGTACAGTGAAGTGGAGCTATGAACGACGGAATGAATACGCGAAGCTGCGATGCCGAGGACTTGCTCACGTTTCAATGGACCAAAGATCTGAAGGGGTATCGTTGAGATCGGATCGTCTTCCTTGAGGGACGGCTTGGGAAGGCTGTAGCCCAGCTGACCAAAAGCGTTGTTGCCCCAGGTGAAGATCTCGCCTTCATCCGTGACCGCAAGGGTGTGGTTCTGTCCCAGAGCTACTGCCGTAACCTTCTTGTGACCCAAGCCGCCGGCCTCTACGCATATGAATTGGTAGCTCGTCGTCTCACTGCCAATTCCTAAACGCCCTCCAGTGCCGTGTCCGCACATGTATAGGTTCGAAATGGGGTCGGTCGTTAGTACAGCCGTGTGTAACTTGGACATTTGCACCTCCTGGATGACGATCGGAGTGTTGCGGATGTGCGTGGGCAGGTCCACAGGTCCTTTCGGCGTCTGTGTGCCTGCATCTTGCAGGGGGACTCCCATCGTAGCCAGGAAATGGTTGTGCCTCTCTCTATCTTCCTTGTAGAATCGACGAAGCAGGTGGTCTGGTCTTCGCAAGACTACGCGCTCGGGGAATGCTCGATCGTCCTGATCGCCGAACCCAAGAGTAACGTTCTTGTTGCTGCCAAATGTGTAGACCTCATCGCCGCCGAGGACTGTTGTAGGGGTGATGAGTTGTTTGTGCAACTCATCGTCCGTATCCCCGCTGTCGCCATGCGCCATTTCGTCGTCCGAGTCCGAGTCAAACATTGGCGCCTCTTCAGGTCGCAGTGTTCGATCCTTGATGGTCATGGAGAACAGATCGAGTGGGCCGTAGCCCTCCTTGTCTTTGATCTTGACCAGACCGCGCGCATGCTGGTTGAAGCCTCCATGTCCCTGACCAAGTATGTCCTGTGCGTCTCGGTTCAGAATAAGGCGGGCGGTGGCGATGTTGCCGAAGTAGAAGGCTCGATGCAGGGGCGTCCATCCGTTCTCTGCGTCTTGAATGTACAGATCCGTCCACTGGTGATCCAGCAAGATCTGCGCAAACTCAACAGCGGTTCCAGCTGACGATGAAGCAGCATGGTGTAAGATCGTGAGTCCTGCCGAGTCGCGACTGTTGACGTCTGACCGCGTCAAGGTTGCGCCGGCAGGCTTGCGCCCTTTTGCGCCTAGCATTGGTGAAGCATTATAGCTGCCTGGGCTGCTGTTCACCGCAGCACCAATCCCTCCACTCTGCCACCCATTGTAGCTCTTCTGTGCGCCTGCACGAGACGACTGCGTGCTGGATGCGACGACATTCCGGAAACTGTCGACGTCATCTTCGAGATAGAATTTCCAGAGATAGCCGCTCATGTGCCAGATAGTGGTGGGAGTCTACCGGAGTTTCGACGAATGCCTGCTCCTCGCTATGATCTCGAGGACCAAAGCGTGTTTAAAGGTGATGGCTGCGAAACTGGGTGAGGCTCCGAAAGGTGCGCTGAACGCGATCGTTCGGTAGATCTGTCTCCTGGATAGAATACAAAAAGTTCGAGGTACGTATCGCGGAAATGTTGTGGAGTTCTGCGTGGAGTTCTGCGTGGAAGAGGGCGTGGAAGTGTGTTTGTGGTGAGTGGCAAGTTGACAGGACGCGGCTGCTCGAGTCAATTGTGCTAGTAGTGGGGTGGCAAATGGACGCGATGTGGACGGAGATATTCGAGATAATCGAGTCTACGTTTCGTCCAGATTTCAGCGACTATTCCGAGTAGTCGGCGACTGTTTACACTGCGGTTGAAGTCGGTGTGTGGTATTTCGGTTCCTGCGTCTATGACGATGCAGCGAAGTGTGGTGGGGTTAGCCGGTCGTCGCTGCTGGGAACCGCGAGTCTCGTTGTGGCACTCTGTGAGGTGCTTGGGTGTAAAGTCACAATTATAGCTAGAGTCTGTAAAGGTGCGCAAAACGCGTCATTTATATGTTACAAAGTCGTCGGGGTATGAAGGTTGATGCGGCTGTTCGTGGATGTGTCTTCGATGCTCATGATGAATTAAACCAATCGTTGGCCAGTGCGCTCCACGAGTCTCTCTTCTCGAACGATGGAGGTCGATAGCATTGCACGGCGTGATGAAATGACAGATGCCCCGATTTGAGGCATGGATGGAACCTCGGATGTCTCTACCATCGCAGCACCGAGGAAGACATATTTCGACACGTCTGGGGAACGCCGTTCATGTACACGCGCCGAGCGCCCACAGGCGGTGAGCGGCAGAACCTCGACCACACAGCTGGGTCTTGACATCGGTCGGTTGATCATTATTGTCATAGAGATGTTTGTACGAAGTAGACGGAGACGTTGAGGACGAGCTCTGGTTTGACTCCAAGTGGACTGACTTTCAGAATACGGACGGCATACTGGTGTGGCGTCTTCCTCAACTCTCGCAGGCGCGCACCGATGTCCTCGCATGTTCGCCAAGCCTGTCGAGACAACCATACGAGATAAAGGGCGTCCCAGTCCTCCAGGACAACCAATGAAGCTGCCTGACGAGTCCCTGATTGACAGATCTCTGCACTCTTTGTTCGCAGCCAGGCAGCGCCAGGCACGGCAATAATGACTCTTGACCGGCGCCGAGGGCCGCACGCGAAGCCTAAAGTTGCAACTTGCGTTACCGGTCAAGCTCGGTCGGCTTCAAGTCGTGCACGCAGGAAGGTGAGGCGCGTGGAACGGTGGTGCATATCCGTGGCCAATGACGTGCCATGACGACAGGTGACAGCCAGCCCACCAAGCAGCACGACACGGTTCGAGAAGAGAACTCGAGTTTTGCTCTCATCGGATCTTCAACTGAGCGGCAACCACTGGCTTTGTTGGGGCGTTGGTCACGATGCAGCGCTTAGAACCGCTTCTCGAGGTCTCTTATCGCGGTCCCAGTATCTCGGCAACAGCCGTGCGCTCGCATGCACCGGCCACGACTATCACCAAAGAAGATGAGCTCCAGGTTCCCCAGACTCGCTGGACTGTGTTAGAGGCGCCATAGATAGATAGTAGCGCTCGTCTCTCTGCAGCTCCTTTGACTCCTGCATCTCGCACAGCTTCCCGTCCCGGCGACTGCAATCCCCTATCAGTTCACCGTTCTGCATCAGCGTTGGCCCTTGTCTGTCTTGGAGCTAGCAGCCATCGTCATTTGTGCCGGAGTCACGCTCAACTGTCACACCTCCTGCTCCACGCGCTCTGATACATTTCTTACGCCGTTTACTCCCAAGATTCTTTGACAGCTCGTGTGGCAGCTAGCGCATTAATCGCCATCCAAGAACGACAGCTGCATATTGACGCTGGTCGCCCACCACAGTACTGGTACCTTGCATTCAAGGTGCTCAAGCTCAACAGCCTTATCTCCACCCATCTCCGCGCCCCGTAGCTCAACGACATGGCTGCTGCCTGAGCTGTCACTGCCCTGCACGACGCCCCAGCGTGGATTTGGAGACGTCTCTGACTGTCGCTGCTGACCCCAGCCGTCTGCACTCGTGATGGCTCCCAGGGCTCACTTGTATTCGCCGCATAGCCCATAACCGCATCCCAGCATCCGCCGCTGATATAACCTCCGTACCTGTTCCTGCAGCAGGCCTCCCGCACCATGCAGCCCTCTCCCTACCAGCGCCCTTCGCCGCGCACAGCCTCGGCCGCCAACAGCCTCCAGACGAACCCCACACGAACGAACAACCAGCGGTACGGCTCGCCCTACTCAGACACCGACCCATACAGTGATCGGGGTCCCGATGAAGAAGAAGGCGATATGGCTTCACCTGATCAGAGGAACAGCCAGAAGGTGAACCAGGTCATACAGGTACGTACCTCCGGGCAGCCTCACATAGGACCCCACACTGATGCGTTGCAGAATTTCTTTACCAAGGCTGCTCTTACCATCATATCATCTCGAGTCATGCTACCACAGTCTTTCAATAATAGCGGTGGCATAAGACAAAACAAATGGGTAGGCCACGATGTACCAACTCACATCTGATAGGGTGCTGACATCACACCAGTTCAACGTGGTATTAGACGACAGCGATGAGGTCCAGCAGCAACTCACCGATTGGAAAAACATGGATGCTATGGCCTGCGACCACCCTCCTCTCTGCATCGAGGTCTACCTGGACACAAACGCGTTAGGACACAAGCAGTCGCTGGTCATACGTGACGACGATGGAAAGAGATGGGATGTCTCTCGAGCGCTCGACAACGCCTCTTCGGGCACTTCCGCTAAAGCAACACAGGTGCTGCTGGAGCGCTGGACAATAAGCGTGGGCGAAAAGTCATCGGTGCACCCCACAGAGCTTAACGATCCCCTGCCGAACGTCTACAAGAAGGCTGTTGTCTTGTTTCGGGCGCTCTACACCTACATTCGCTTCATCCCCGCTTTCAAGTATTACAAGGTTGTTGCTAAACAACCTGCGAATTCACCTGCGCTGAAACTGGCCTACCGGATCACAAACGGCAATCTCAAGAGTCCACACCCTGACACCCTCAGCCTGCCGCTGTACCAATCCGAAGAATCTGTTACCGACCGCCAAGATTTCGGACCTTCCCACTCACCAGTTGGACCGTTGCGGATATCTGTGCAGTATCGTACAAACTGCGAGTTTACCGTCGAAGACTCCGAGTCTTTGCTGAGTTCTGAGTTCATGGGGCTCGACAATACGTACTTTGACCAGTCCCAACGAGGAGCTGTACCTGCTTCACTTCCTGTCAACAAGATCCATACACAAGAGACGCCTGAGATTGGTCACGCATATGGCAGTTTGTCTACCTTCCACCAAGTCGGACCTCCTGCAGGAACAAGCCCAATATCTGCTCTTCGTGCGGTTCGAGATATGCCCTCGTCTTCGCCTATAGAATTACCGCCGCAGAAACTACCACCGAACCACCGCACTGCTCAGGGGTCGAAGTCTTCGCTACGATCTGCTGAGGTTCCGTTCCAACGACGAACCTCGGTATCATTTCAGCCCTTCAAGGCTGGTTCATTGTCATCGTCACCAGCTCTAGGCCCTGCAGCACTGCCTTCACCCGGCAGCTCATTAGGCAGGCCAAGCAGCTCATTTGGGCGTACCGCTACTCCCAATCCACTTCTTCAACCTCGCAATCGTACTTCATTAACAGCGCTCCCTCAACAAGCTCTGCGGACACCATCGCTGCCTAACGAAACCGCCATCGTCTCTTCCGCTTCAAGCTCGCCAAGGCCCGCTCCTATCAAATACAGTAGTAGCTTCGGTCACCGCAGGAACCGCTTCTCTACCAGTGGTGGCAGCAAGACTGAAGATGACAATCTAAGCAGTGGCAAGGGTAGCGTGGCGTCTTCGGTGCAACGCGGCTCGGATGTACTCAATGAAGGCGAGGGTGGCAGCTCTGGCGAGGTCAAGTCAGATGACGACAACATCTCGGACTTTTTGAAGTTGCTCGAAGCAAAGAAAGAGCTCAAAAGCTTCAACCGCAGCGACAACGCTTCGAAGGAGTCGGCCATGCGTAGGACTACGGCCCAATTGTCCAAGTACCAGCGACTTAAGGACTCGCACGCGGCGCTGTCTGATTCCGTATCGTCTTCCACCATGTTGCACCGATCATCTTCGTCCTCGAGCCGCCACCTATCCAGCGTGCCCGCCATGATTGCTGGGACGTCAGTGTCAACTGCCTCGTCACCAGGCAAACCGATTTCACCGCACACTCCTCACACGCCTGCTATCCCTTCACGACTCAGCGCCAACAGCATCATTGAGTACGAGCCACGGCCTCGACGAAGTCGATCGTCGCGTCCGGACCGAGAACAGGACACAACTGATCCACAAGAGCCAAACGAGGGCGACGATCCCAGCACCAATGCGATCGATATTCCCACCTCACCTCGGCACTGGGAGCGGACGTTCAATCGCCGGTCCAGCTCGGTCGCCCAGCAAGACCGCAACCCCGAGGACGATCTCGACAACTACGGTCGTGCTGCTAGTCTGCCTCTCACAGAGGCTGGGCGAGCCAAGGAGTCGACGCCTAGCGAATCGTTTGCCCAGGCAGAAACGGGCGCCAGTGCCACTCAACACGACCAGGGCTCTGAGGAGATCGATCCCCTCGACGCAACCGCGCAACGAGCATCATCTTCATCGAACACGCCCGCCAAGCGCGGCACATACTCCGGCAGCTCGCGCGGCCGCACAAGCTTCTTCTCTCACGGCTCGTCGTCGGGCGCAACGAGCTCTACCGAACGCCCAAGCCGATACAGCTTCTCGAGCCGCGGCCTCGGCCCGGAAGACGACGAGCCGCTGCTCTTTCAGATGAGCGAGATCGGCGCCGGCGGCTCGCGCCGCAGTCTCGAAGAAACTCCAAGCTCAGGTGCGGCGGGCAAGCGCATGTCACCTTGGGGTCGCTAGCAGCGTCGCTCCATCTGAGCCCACGTACAGCACCACGTGGCCACATTTTAACACGCATGTCTCATACTCTCCCCTCTGCCTCCATCCGAGCGGCTCGGCGCAGTCGCCTCGGGGCGCGAATCTGTCTTGTTCTCTCTCATCTTGTTTCCAGCACAGCGGGGGTTCTGTTTTTTTCACATTGTGGTTCCTTCTGGCGTTTCATGCAGGCGCGGACTGGTGCGCGGGCGGTGTTTGAGCGCGCTGCTGGCTGGGTTGTAGGGTCACGGGTTCTACGAGATTGTCTCGCGATGGCGTTGCGCATATTGTTTTTTCCATGGCCGTTAGGGCGCGCGACGGTGCATGGCGATTGAATATGAGATTGTTTGCGAGATTGTTTGCGGTTGAGGTGTGGCGAGTGACCTGTGATTGCTGTTGGGGTGTTTGGTACTGCGTACTTTGGGATATGACGTGTATCTGCGGAGTCGGAGTCGAGGGTGCGCGTGGTACGGTTGAGCAGTTGGAGCACATTATCACGGCTATGAAATCGAACGGGAAATTGTATTGTGGTGTGCATGTCTCGAAGATGATGTTAGTTTGTATTTCGTCGTACTATTTCTTCTGCAGCAACTCGTCCAGCCCCCCCGCGCCACCCTCATGTCCATCGAGATCATACTCCTTGGGGTACCTCTTCAGGATATCCGCCATCTCCGCAACGTGCGCGCGCTGCTCCTCGGTAACGCCCTCCCAGACATCAGTAAATGCATTCTTGATGTTGGGTTTCTTCTGCTTCTCGGCCGTCTCAAAGGCACGGAGCACATCCTTCCTCGTCCCGGCGCGCAATTCCTTTTCGCGTGCGTCGTCCCACAGCGCCCGGCCCTCGAGCCACTTGCGCAGCCGCGTCAGCGGGTTGTCGCGCCGCTTCCAGTCTTCGACCTCGACGCGCGCACGGTACGCGAACGAGTCATCCGACGTGCTGTGATGGCCCACGCGGTACGCCATGCACTCGACGAGCACGGGTCGGCCGCCGTCTTCGAGCGCGAGGCGACGGGCTTCTTTCACCGCACGCCGCACGGCGAAGATGTCGTTGCCGTCAACGCGAAGTGTGTCGATGCCGTAGCCTGCGCCACGTGATGCGATACCGTCGCCGCGGTATTGGTCGGATGTCGGTGTGCTGATGGCGTAACCGTTATTTCTGCAGATGAAGATGCACGGTACCTGGCGGGTTGCGGCGATGTTGAGAGCGCTGTGGAAGTCGCCTTCGGACGCGGCGCCTTCGCCGAAGAAACACACTGCGACACGCTCGACTTCTTGTTCGCCGCTGGCGGGGGCGCCGATGCGGCCGACGGTGCCCTGGTTCTGCAGCTTGAGAGCATATGCTGCGCCCGCTGCGTGCGGGATCTGGGTCGCCAGCGTCGAGGAGATGGTGTGGATATTCAGCTCCTTGGAGCCGTAGTGCACAGGCATGTTCCGCCCCAGCCCGTGGTCGGAGCTATTGGCGAAGAGCTGGTTCATGAACTGTGCGAGAGTGAAGCCGCGCTGCAGATACACCCCGCTCTCGCGGTACTGGGTGAAGATGACGTCGGATGGGTGGAGGGCGGATGCGGAGCCGATGGAGATGCCCTCTTCGCCGGCGGATACCATGTAGAATGACAGGCGGCCCTGGCGTTGGGCTTCGAACATGAGCAGGTCCATAATGCTCACTGCTCGTCGTCAGTTGCTCTTCTGGGGAGTGAGTGGCAGAGGAGGGGAGTGAGTGGCAGAGGAGAAGGGCGACCTACGGGTAACCATGTTCTTGTACAATTGCAACGCCTCCTCGTCCGTGGTATCGGCGCCCACGCTCTCATCGATGATGTCGCCATATTGGTTCAGGCAGCGGTAGGTGGGGATTGCATCTTTGGACTTGGAGGGGCGGAGGAAGGAGAGCGTGTTCGTGAATTCGCTGTTGAGGGCGCCGGGGAAGAGGACTCTACGTGGAATCAGTCTCTGTAGCTGCGTTGGCAGCACAAGTGGCTCACTTCTCGGCATTTGCAGTCGAAGCCACACCTCGGCACGGCCATGGTGTGCTCACAGCTCTCGAGGCATTGGGCGTGGCGCGCAGTCGCTGGGCGCGCAGTCTCCTCGCAGAGTAGCGAAAAGACATTTTGGTGTGCAGAACTACATAAGTGCGGCGGGTTGGGGTTTTGATCGTTCGGGAAGGAGTGCATGGCAGTCGTGCTTGTACCGAGACCGAGCGGCTTCCCCAGATTTCTTAAGCCGCGCGGAAGCCGTCACGTCCGCCACGGCAGGGCGGAGGGCACGTGCAGTCGCGGCGGAGCCAGCGCGCATCATCGTTAGAAAAGTCGCGCCAAGCCTCGAGCGCCTCTTCACCACCGCCATCATGAGCGCTTCACGGATACGGATTGGGCGCCAGTTTCTGGATGCGAGGACGAGCGCCGGGAGGCAGTCGGCCAGGGGGTTCGCTGCGTCTGCACCGAGAGGCGTGAGGGAGCCGCCACCGCCGCCGCCGCCGCGAGATGCGCACGATGGGACGACGCACTTTGGCTTCGAGACGGTCGCCGAAGCGCTGAAGGAGCAGCGTGGTACGCCATACCATACAATCTAGACACGTTCATGGACGCTGACCATCTGCCAGTCCGCGGCGTCTTTTCCTCGGTCGCCTCCTCGTACGACTCGATGAACGATTTCATGTCGCTGGGCATCCACCGCCTGTGGAAAGACCACTTCGTGCGCAACCTGAACCCCGGACGCAACCCGCTGACCTCCCCCTTGGCCGACCAGAAGGGCTGGAACATCCTCGACATCGCCGGCGGCACGGGCGACATCGCCTTCCGCATGCTCGACCACGCCAGCCATATCAACAACGACGCGCACACCAACGTCACCGTCGCCGACATCAACCCGGACATGCTGGCCGAGGGCAAGAAGAGGAGCCTGCAGACGCCGTATGCGCGCAGTCCGCGACTGCGCTTCGTCGAGGCGAATGCGGAGAAGCTCGATATGATTCCGGATGGCTCGATTGATCTCTACACTGTTGCGTTCGGTATCCGAAACTTCACACACAAGGACGTGGCGCTGAAGGAGGCGTACAGGGTGTTGAAGCCTGGCGGCGTCTTCGCTTGCCTCGAGTTCAGCAAGGTGGAGAACCCGCTGTTCAACGCCGTGTACCAGCAGTGGTCGTTCAATGCGATCCCGTACATTGGACAGATGGTGGCTGGCGACAAAGCGAGCTATCAGTACTTGGTCGAGTCGATCGCGCGATTCCCCAGCCAAGAGGAATTCAGCGGCATGATCAGGGATGCTGGCTTCTTGATCCCCGGCAAGGGCTACGAGAACTTGACCGATGGCATTGCGGCGATTCACAAGGGTGTCAAGCCTGCGTGAAGCGTAGGTTGGCTGTGAGTGTGCTATAGATTGTATGAGTAACAAAGCGTATTAGAACGGAGTAATATCATGCATTCGGGAGCCATCAATGCTTTCATGTTCAAGCATTGTTCACAGTGGCTTTTTGTGCTCCATGCGAGCTCGATCAAGCATCAACGACGAAAGTCACCGAATAGATTTGAGACCCAACCGACTATGAGCTACAACACGTCGGCATGTCCATACGGTGTAAACATGCCAGCAACGCACAGACCGCCAACGTCATCGCCTGAATGCAGCAGCAGTCACATACCCGGACCGTACTCACTCCCTTACTTACCGTGTCTAGGTCCCTGGCTGCTAAGGACACCCGTCTAGTCGCCCCATGCGCAGTCTCACTTCTCACGAGCAAAGACCATAGTGTGCTCGCATGCTCACGAATCCTTCCAGGCTGTCATCACCGGCGAGTCCTTTCGAGCGGTCCTGGTCAGCCTCACAATCCTTTCCACCAATATCGTTTCCTTTCGACCACACGGGGTTTCACTCTCTTTGGGTTGATACGATTGTTGGTAATTGCGAAAATTAAGGATTGCTTTTGTGAGCGCATGACACGACCATTGTCGCTGTGGGTTAAAACAATATGTAACCACGTGGGTGAAGTCACATGATATCTTGTTGTAGCAGGTACCGCCCAGTGGGCAAGTGCACTTACCTCAGAGCTGAGAGCTCCGTACACAATCATCACAACACGACAACAGATAGCAATACAATTGTTGATCCCAGCCTCCACCCGACACTGCACCAGGCAGTTACACAATATCATGGCTCTGAACGCCAGACACCATGATGGCTTCACCACGGATCTCTCAACGTGGGACATGGCTCTCCTTGAATACCTGCCCTTGGCAAGACCAAATGAACTTCGACTCATCAACATACAACCTGGGTCTTTTGATGCAGCCTCGTAATTAGATATCTTCCATTCGACTTTGCAACAGGAAACCTCTGTTGCGTTTGATGCGCTGTCTTACGTTTGGGGATCGCCGAATGATCCGCACACGGTGGACGTGAATATTGCATTGAACGATGGCACGACAAAAGCATTCAAAGTATCTGTCATACGCAACCTCGCCACGACCCTGCAGCATCTGCGGCGTACTGATGTGGCAAGAACAGTATGGGCGGATGCAATTTGTATCAATCAGCACGACTACGACGAACGAGCCCAACAGGTCCTCATGATGGGCGACATCTACCGTTGTGCACAGAATGTTGTCGCTTTTCTGGGACCAACGATGAGCGACAGTACAATCGCCATGGGTCTGATCAGTAAAATCTCTCGTGTTGTGAAGGTCGACTTCGGCTCTGGGCTTGTGGAGCCATCAACTGAAGGCGAGGCTGAGCCAGGGTGGGTTGACATGCATACACTACTGGACATCGAGCACGAGCATCTTCTGGCACTGTTCCATCTGCTCAACCGCGAGTGGTTTGAGAGGCTATGGATCAGACAAGAGATTGGCCTTGGCGGAGATTGGGTGAGTCTTTTGTGCGGACACGACTCGATTGAATGGTCATCATTCTGTCGCGCCATCTTCGTCCTCCATCGCAGGACTATCGAGAGTCTGGGTATCCTGGACGGAATTGAGCAGGATAGCCTGCGTGACCGGCTCGGCATGGCTGACACTGTGGCCTTGTTCTCTAAGAGAGCATTTCGCTTCACCAACCTTCGACGCCAGATTGGTAGATCAAAGTACACGGATCAACGAGACCGCATCTATGGTGTCCTCGGCCAGCTTCGTGATGCGGCACAGATTGGGATTATCCCAGACTACAACGAGACTGTGGCAGAGGTGTATATAGATGCTACGCAGAAGAACATCCGCCCCTCACAAGGTCTTTCGGTGTTGTGCCAATGTACGGAAGACTGGTGCTGGCAACGACAGCTCACTTCACTTACCAAGCTGGGTGCCGGATTGGTCGACCCCGTTGTTCTCAGCTTCAGTACACGAAGCCAGACCACCATTTTTCGATCCGCTGCCTGCGTGGGAATCTATCGAAGATAAAGTGCTTCGTGCCTACGGTCTGCGCTGTGGGTCGATTTCGCAGGTCGCAAGACCTTTCGGTGATTCACTCGAGGGAGTCGATGACTTTACAACGGCTCAGGCAGTTCAAGATGTACTTGTCAGTGTCAAACGGCACGTCGCACATACCGGAGACGAGCTTGTCACCGAGGCACGCTATCGCTGTCTACTGCTGAACAACTTCGCCACTCGCTGGATGCCCACAGTGCCCTACGAAGCACCATTCGAAGAATGCATGGCACTAGTTCGCGCTTTGCTCAGCCCATCCAAGACCATGACTGAAACAATCGCCATACCGGAAGCCAGCCACTGTCTGAACAAGCTACGCGGCGCCTGTCGAGACCGCGCCTTGATTGTCACAGACACCGGACACCTCGGCATGGGACCAGACTCCGCATCATCCGGCGACGAATTCTATCTTCTATTTGGCACCTGGAAGCCAGCCATCCTCCGCCCGGCTGTGCAAGAGCAGCATTGCGTAGTCGGGGGGGAGTGCTACGTCCACGGCATGATGAGCGCCGAGCCCATTCTCGGTCCCATACCCCAGAGTCTGCGTGGGCTTCTGGATCCCATGCCGTCGGCGGGCTGAAAAGCGCGGGCTTTAGGAACATCACATCAGGGCAGGTCTTTGAGGGTGATGGGCGCGTCGAGCGGTTCTTGCACGGGCTGGTAGCTAAGGGTGTCTTGACTGGTCCGACGATTCGGGGACTTGGGGCTCAGGGTGTCATGGAGACGCTTATGAGGGCGGGAATTCCGATTCGGATCTTTGATCTGATATGAATAGGGACTCGTAATCTATGGCCATGATTGCGGTGATGAGGCTGAAATGGGCGCCAAAAGTTGATGGCCTAGACATGGCCAACAGGAAGATGAGAGTCGACAAGATCATCACTGATGGCTGCCTTGATCGGCATCCACTGCAGATGGCCTGCATTTGCTCATCGTAGACTGTGTAATGCTCGTCGCCTACCCCCAATGGGAGTATCATCCAACATGCTGCCGAACTGATCCGAAGCCAATGGTAAGTGAGGAGCAGCCATTGAATGCAGAGCCTGTCATACTGAACTCCCCTGAGTATTTGAAAGGCGTTCAGAATCAAAAAAATGTGCCTGTCACAGTTGACTTGGCCGCTAAACTGCTCGCTGCGCCCGTCTCATGCGTAAACACCCGCACCGAGGAAGATCAGGCGCATATCATCATCTTGCAAGGGCTACTCCGTATTCGAATCTTTCTGGGGAGGATTTCGTCATACACGGGATGATAGGGTGAGGTAACTTAGTCGCATGGACTTTTGAAAATGAGAACGTGTTTGTAGTAGGGGTGGTCACCGAAAGTCAACAAGTCGCCCGTGCGCGCATCCTTCGCTCATACGTCACCCCTGAATGATCTTCATTAGCAACTACTACACCTGCAATCCTTCCGAAATCACCGACAGTCGCGGCAGCATGGTCCCAGCCTACCATCGCTTTACACACAACATGATCGTGAAGATCCGTATGGATTGACGATAGATATCGTCGCGAAAACAGGTATTGTAGACGGGAGAGGAGACGCTAAACGCGGTGCGCCACCACGACATCCTTGAACATGACGTAGAGCCAGCCGCATTTCACTATTACCAGCTGTGAACACTCGAAGGAATAACAACAGATCATGCAAACGCAACAAGTGCAACGAAACTCGACACCAAAAGCCGCGAAGAGCGACAGCAAAATGGGAGACAAAAAACAACAGCCCATCCCAGACAAAGAGATAAAACAAAATGCCGGAGTTTCAGCCACTATGGCACTGCAGGCGGCGCAGAAAGCGTGGGAATACCGGCAAGCTGCTAACGCAGCAGGTGATCCAGATGCTCGAGAAGAGATCCTCGCAAAAGCCATCAATAAAGAGATCGAAGCCGAGTCCTTTGGCAAGGCAGCAAAATATACACAATCTGGTGCATTCCAAGGGCTCGCTGCTGGCGCTGGCCTCGGTGTACAGCCTGGGGTTACGCTTGGAAAGATCACCGGCGCTATTGTAGGAGGGACAGTCGCTACTGTCACAGGTCTGCTTGGTGGTGGAATCGGCTCAGTGTATGGTGCCATGCATGGCCCAATGTGGGATCTTGGACAGATGGCCAGTCATGGCGTGCGAGGTGTTATTGGAGACTTTCCAAACTGGAAGTCTACACCGGCACAAAAAAGGGCACTAGAGAAGATGGTCATGCAGTCGAAAGAGACGCAAGCCCCAAATGAAGAAGAGCTGGAGCAGATGAAGAATGAGATGCCCGATGACATGCCACAATCATGGTCGCAATCAGTGTCGGACATGACGAGTTGGAGACCCTCGATGCCGTCGATGCCCAACATGCCAAACATGCCATCGATGTCACAGGCCGGTACTGCAGTGGGCTTGGGTGGATTGGGCGCTTCGCTCGGGCTAGGAGGCAAAGACAAGGGTCAAGAGCAACAAGCCCAGCCGACTGCGAGACAAGCATCTCAGCAGAATGGGCACGCTGTCCGTCAAGCGTCGAAACAAAACGAGGCCTCTGCACCCAAGCAAGCATCCACACCCAAGCAGGCCCCAACGCCCAAGGAAGCACCGCAGGTGGAGTCTCAATCCAAAAGACCTTCAGACTCGCCGAAAGACTCAAAACCTCAGCCCCGCAAATCGCAGCGCACGTCTGCGCCACAGCAACAAGCTGAATCGAATGCGCATACGGAGTCCAAGCCTCCGACGCAGGCATCCCAGCCAAAGGCGCAGTCTTTCAGACCCAAGGAGCCGGCTGCAAAGAAGGAAGCAGAGTCAAAGAAATCCCCACCGAAGCTAGCCTCCAAGTCTCAGACGGCCAACAAGCCTGCAGCACCTACCCAACCGAAGCCTGCAGCCTCAACTGCAAACACGGAGAACAAAACGTCTGCTTCGACGAACGGACAGCGGAGGAAGCCGAGGAAGCTAACGCCGAAATCCGCCAATGCGGATTCGAGTTCAGGATCGACCACCAAGCGGGCCCCGCGAAAGCTTGAGTCGCGCAAAGCAGCCGCAGCAGCCTAGAGCGCCTTGCGCAACGCGAACTGACGAACGGAAACTCGGGATCTTGGCCCAGGAATTACAGCATGCGGGTGCGGTCTTCAGGAAGTTGTTGCATACAGTTCAGGAACGGCGTTCCGGAGTGTTTGGTTTCTCATTCTTAGCGAGCAGGCAGTCTCATTCTGAACCCTTTGTTGTCGCCACTCCGCCATCGTAGCTTGATATGATACCCAGCATCGTCCAATCTCATATGGTACGTATGCGCTTACGTTGACCTTCTTATGGGAGCTTGAGCTTGATCCACGCGTATACGCATGGCACTGACGTGTCTCGGCCGTTTCGTTTCACGGCAAGGCTCGCGCACTAGCCCTGACCAGCCTGCCCCGTAGCTACCTCGTTTCTAGTACTCCGCAAAATGACCGATATGAGCAACGCTCGCCTTTAGCATGAGCGCAAAGACGTCTGCGCGAGTGCTCCGCCGCGCGCCAGGGCTGCGCACGAATATAGCTCAGTTTCGTCATCTTTGTCGCGGCCATGAATCTCAAGGATTACCTTAAATGTAGCATGTGCCAAGGCACCATCTTCCCCAGATTCAATCCCATCACCGTCTTGTCATCATGCGTCCCGCTTGTAGCCTTTCCATTGTGAGCTTCGCTGCCCTCGTGCTTGGCGACTCGCACTATTTCTTCTCTGGTTTCTTTGCAGGGTCTACGATAGTCGGCGTTGAATTCGACGATGCGACCTCCACCTTGAGCTTGGTGAACAACATAACAACAAAAGCGACTTCGGGTTCGAAGTGGATCGCCATCGATGTACGCATGTATCCAGCAAACGTTTCCCTTTTGTCGTTGACCGGTCATAACAGGAACGTAAACGCAATGTTTATGTCGGAACTACAGGATACGTCCAAAGCTATGCTGTGACAGCAAACATGAGCTTGGAGTACGTCTCACAGATTACTCTCTCAGCATCCTGTGAGTCGCATCCTTTTCTTCTCTAGCTAAAGCTAATAATCCACAGGTCAGAATGCCAATTACCTCACAGCCGCTTCGACGAGCCCCTACACTGTCTTTGCAGCAGCGTATAGTACTGGTTGCCCAGCTCAGGCCATCGCTGTTGATGATTCTGGCGCTCTGCAGTCTTCGGTTGCGGATCTTACGTACAGCAACAGCTCAGGTGTACATGGCCTCGACCTAAGTTCAGACAACGGCTTTGTCTATTCCGCAGATGATATGGGCAACGCGGTCTGGGTCCACTCTTACGATAGCACATCCCAGACTGCGGAAGAAATTCAGTACCTCGCTGCACCATCGGGAGCGAACCCAAGACATCTCGCTGCGCATCCTGATGGCCAATGGGTGTACGTCGTGTACGAAGAGGCTAACTCGCTCGCCGTGTACAAGCGCGACAACGCGACTGGTTTGCTGACTGACATGAACACAACATACTCACTTCTTCCGTCAGGTAAGTCGACAGGTCAGAGGAATATCCTGAGCTGGCACTAACCCTTCTCCAAGGTTACACAAACACATCAAACTACTGGGCCGACGAAGCCAAGTTCTCCATCCCTGTATTTAACTCCAGCACGGCATCCCCCAAATACCTCATCACCGGCACACGCTCCCGCTCAACCTCGTCGCCGGGATACATTTCCGCTTTCGCCCTCGATGCCAGCACAGGTGCCATTACCGAGCAACTATTCATCACGCCGAGTACCGCCAGTGGTGGCTCTGCAAACGCAGTCTCGCCTGCGCCATTCAGCGAGGAGTACTTCGCCATCACGGATAGCGGCTCGAACTTTGTCGAGATGTGGAGAATCGCCGACGATGCGACGAGTGCTGCGGCTGTTGCGCATCTGGGGCTGAGTGCTGGGCCGGCAAATGTGGTATGGGTCAGCTAGACGGCAGGAAGATACTGGCTCTGAATAGTGGAAGTGCGGTCGATATTTAAGCGCGGCAGTGAAGGCGTGATGCGTGGCCAGGGCTGTCAACATTCGGCCTGGCGTGGGGCTAGGATAAAGGCGCGGCTGCGGCGCAGGATCATGCACCATCACGATTAGCGAGATGGATCCGATATCGATATTCAATCGTATTGAATGATGTCCGCAAGTTGTTCAAATTGATTTTGTAGACCGTGGCGTGTCAGGTGGCGTTTGTGTCCGACCGTGCGAACTATTAATAGCTTGCACTTCTTCAAGTTCATCGGTGTGAGTAAGGCCAGCGCCGTCAAAATTGCGAATCGATTGACGCCCACTGATGCCATGTATCCTTTTGGACAATAGTATTCAGCCTAGTTCCTTCTTTCTCCTTTGTCGACACGACTCACTCAGCCAGGGATTGCCAAGTCTGTTCTAGCTTCGGTGATCCTCGAATTGTGTAACGAAGGTCCGACTTTGCCGCGGACAACAACAGCGACTCGCCATTTTTACAACGGTCTCGCCAATAAGTTTCTGATGGGATAAACAAGGTGAAGCACGGTGATAATGTCACTCTGCAATCGCTTTTAGAGCAATCTTATAACAGTACACTACCGGTACAGGCAACGACCCACGAGCCTTTGAGTGTAACTCTCGGAGCTGATATCGGATGAAGTCTACGACGACACTAGCGCACGCCTGTTGAGCATCCATCGCTTCAGGCGTCTTGATCACTTCGCCGTTCACTTTGATCCTTTGCCTCGGCTTGAGGACAGACTAGACTACAAGATGGGCAGAAGTTGATGACTTACTCTGGTGTATCATAACTTGTGACTTATCAGACATTGATCGGTCTACTCTTCCATTCCTCTTTGACGATTCTCAAAGTCCAATGATGGAGTACACAATTCCGGTCCAGACTAAGGTTGTCATCATCGGAGCAGGCTTTGGAGGCTTAGGTATGGGTGCAGCTCTGAAAAGAGCTGGAGAACATGAATTCATGATTCTGGAGAAGGGATCCACTGTTGGTGGAGTGTGGCGAGACAACACGTACCCGGGCTGCACCTGCGATGTGCCATCACATCTTTACTCGTTTTCATTTGCACCTTACAAAGGTCGCAAGAAGCGGTTTCCGCCACAGAAAGAGATCCTAAACTACTTAAAAGAAGCTGCCGATGACGAGGGGCTACTTCCCCATCTTCATCTGCACACGGAAGTTGCGAAAGCGCGTTTCAGAGAAGACAAGAGCGACTGGGAAATCATCACTGCTACGAATGACCACATCCACGCTGAGATTGTCATCTTTGCCGTGGGTCAGCTTCATAAACCAAACTATCCGAATGTACCTGGGCTTGATACCTTCCACGGACCGATCCTTCATCCTGCAGAGTGGGACAACAGGATCAACTTCCATCAGAAGCACATCAGCATCATCGGTACGGGCTCAAGTGCAGTGCAGATGCTACCCTCCCTTGCATCGGTCGCGTCCAGTGTTACAGTGTATCAACGGAATCCGCATTGGGTGCTTCCTAAGCTCAGCCCAGATTTCGGCCGCATCGGACGAACACTATTGCGAGCTCCAGGCGCTCATCGGATCTACAGAAAGTCACTGCATTATGGCGCAGATATCTTGCTGTCGCCCATACCACGCTCGAAGCTCTGGCGTTCGGTCGTCGAAACATATGCTCGACATTCCCTACGCAGGCAAGTTGTCGACACGGACCTTAGCCAGAAGCTCGTGCCTACATACCCTCTCGGCACGAAGAGGATACTGTTTGACAATGGATTCTATCCTGCGTTGACCCGTCCAAACGTCCAGCTAATTACGGAGCCAATGCGTTTGATAAGCGAAAGAGGCATCGAGACCAACGCAGGCTTACAGCCAACAGACGTCATTATCTGTGCAACAGGATTCCGAGCTTCTGAGTTCATTGTACCCATAAATGTGCAAGGGAGAAATGGTCGTACTTTGAATGATGACTGGAGATCTGGCGCGGAGGCGTTCATGGGTCTTGCAATCCACGGCTATCCCAGCCTCTTCATGATTGCTGGACCGAATTCATTTAATCCAGCGGGTAGCAATCCTGAGATGAAAGAAGTGCAGATCGAGTACATCATTCGGTGCATGCGCTGGAAGAAGGAGTGCGGCGCTTCAGCAATTGAGGTCAATCAGAAAGCCACGATGGAGTACCAGGAGTGGTTGGAGAGGAAGATGGCGAAGACTGTCTGGCAAGATTTGGTTGACAGCTGGTACAAGCATCGGACTGGGAAGATCACAAACCCATGGCCAGAATCTCTTCGGGCGTTCAAACATATGCTGCGTCCCCATCCCAGCCGCTCTTTTAATAGACTGGAATCTCATGGACAATCCTCGCGAGAGAGCACTTCTTCAGAGTTCGATATGTGGTTTGCTCTTGAAAAGTAAGGACCTATCAACTTTGGCATCTAGAGCCGGAATAAAATCATATGACAGAAAGGTGGAAGACGACATTGCAATTCGTACCTCCTTTATGCTCGCTGAGCTTTCTGCCAGGTCATAAAGTGTTCCTGTCGGCCCTCCGTGGCACTGAGGACCGCTTTTATGGCAGAATATGTCCGATACAATGGCAAGATCTAGGTCCTTGATAATTTTATCGATATATAACACAGTCTTTGAGAGCTGATCTTCGGCAGTGCTGTCCAATGGTTGTGTACGTTGACGGAGAAAAGCGCCGAAGAATGTGCGATTGCAGACAGAAAATTCCTCGCCTAATTGCCCCGCGTAAGGATCCAAACATCTTCTTGTTATCATTGGGTGCCCAGGAATGCATCGCTATCTTGCATGAAGTCACAGCGAGCCCGAGAAACCTTCTGACTAGCACGAAGAATGCCTCCCGCGTCGACCCTCTCCCAAAACGATTCGATGCTTGACATTCTTTGCCAAGGATCGTAGAGTAGCCCTATTGAGAGTATGAGCTCCTTGCCTGATGATGAGTCTCAACGAGCCGCAGAAGGGTTGAAGAGACAGTCTGGACATACTTGAAGGACCAACCGGCACCTGCTAAACCTCAGTCGAAGCAGTTCATCACTCCTTATCAGGCTGTTGAGCAACGCTTCTAGACTCATCTTAACCACTTCTTACCTTGTCGGCGCGGTCCTCGATCACATCAACGCAGTCGCCAGCATGCACTCAGCCTTCTGGTGGCTTCCGCTCCTCAGTGGAGCCGCGGCTCTACCACAATCACTCCCCCAGCCAGCACCTCCGGTTGCATCAGCTGTATCCGCTGCTGTCCCTCAGGCCCCTACCCTCTATGGAGTCAATGGCGCTGTGTACCTTGGTTTCTATATCAGTATCAGCGTACCCTCTAATGGTCTTCTCGGCGGCCTGAGCAGCCTGGCAAACAGCGTGCAGCAGCTCTTGACTGGCTCGGCATCGACTCTTCCAGAGGTCGGCGGTGTCACTTGGTCGAATTGCGTTGGAAGTTGTGCGCGCCAAGGCTTTAAGTTCGCTGGTATTGATGGAGGCTCAACTTGCCGTTGCGGTAGTGCCTTCGCATTCAACCCTTCTCGTGCGCTTGAAGCCCTCTGCAGTTTGACATGTTCAGGCAACAGGGGTGAGTGCTGCGGTGCTCAAAACCGCCTTGTGTTGTTCCAGATCACAAACCCTGCACTTGCAGCGGCACAAGCTATTCTGCCTCCGGCTCCTTCTGCACCTTGGACCCCTGCTACTCCCGCGATACCTACAGTACCTGCCACGATTCCTCAGGTTCCTAAGCCCTCTCTCCCTACACTGCCTACGCTACCACAGCTCCCTTCTACTGGTTCATGGCCTTCGCCTCCTACTGGTCAGCTCCCTTCTCTCCCGAGCTTTCCATCAGCGCCTCAGGTTCCTAAGCCCTCACTCCCTGCACTTCCGTCAACCAGCTCATTACCTCTCGGTCAGCTTCCTCCTCTCGGAGGACTCCCTTCTCTCGGAGGACTCCCTTCTCTCGGAGGGCTTCCTTCTCTCGGAGGGCTCCCTTCTCTCGGAGGACTTCCAACGCTTCCAAATCTCGGAGG